CAAAAATCTTCCAACCCAAGGCCCAAGGTAACAGAGGAAGAAAATGAGTGGATTACTGAGTAAGCATTCAGTCATGATGTGCTACACACTGTAGGCAATCCAGTAAAGGAATCATGAAAATAGAGAGATATCACAATGAGCTGCGGTTCAGGGGATGCAACCATCACATGGGGTAGATTTTGCAATGTGGAGTTGGTGATAAGTCAGGCCCAGGTCCTGGAAGGAAACTGGGAGACAGATCATGAAGAGAAAAGAATGGAGTAGGACAAATGTATTAGGCAGGGGTCTGCAGAGAAATAGAATGTGCGTATGTGCGTGTATGTGTGTGTGTGTGTGTGTGTGTGTGTGTGTGTCTGGAGAGTTAAAGAACTGGCTCATACAATAGTGGAGAGCAGTAAATCCAGGGTTGACAGGAAAAAGTTGCTATTACAGTTAGGTCTGCATAAGTCCGCTTCCCATCACTATAAGGAAATACTTGAGATAATTTATAAAGGGAAAGGTTTTACTTTGGCTCACAGCTTTGGAGGGTCCAGTCTGTGATTGGTTAGAGCAGTTGCTTTGCGTAGTTAGCAGCCAGGTAGCACATCATGATGGAAATGTGTGGTAGAGCAAAACAGTTACCTCACAACCAGGCTGGAGTCCCACCATCCTCTTAGAGGACACACTTGCAGTGACCCAAGGACTTCCTGCAAGACCCTACCTCCTGGAGGATTTACCATGTTCCCCAAATAGCATACTGTGGACAAGCTTTAACACATGGGCCTTTGGGAAACATTTAAGATCCATACTAAAGGCAATTTAGAGGCAGAAGTCCCTCCCCTTAGATGGATTCTCTCTTCTTCTCAGTTTGTTTTTTCTGAAGGTCATTGACTAATTGGACCAGGCCCTACCCACATGGTAGAGGGTCATCTGATTTCCTCAAATTCTGCTGAGTGAATTTCTCATCTTAAGCAAAGTAACATGTAGCATAGTGTTTGACCCTAAAGCTGGTCACCATAACCCTGCCAAATTAACTCATAAAATTAGCCTTTGTAGTATATGTTTGGGTAGCACCAATAGATTCTGGTGTTATCCTGGAAAGTGCAGGAAAACTGAAAATCCAGGGTGATACTTATGTTTTTAGTATATACATCTGGGTGTATATAGTGCCATGGAGAAAGAGAAGACTACTACTATATTTAAAGTTAAAATGGAGCTACCGATGAAAATTAGACATGTAAAATAAAAGTCCAGTAAGTATAAACCCTTTAAAGAAGCAACACTGTTCATGGATAGACTTTCCCATACCTTATGTTAAATGGCTAACTATCACTCAGTTGGTCAGTCAGCATGTGTTAGTCAGCTGTGGTGGTGCATGCCTACTCTAAACCCAGTATTTTGGGAGACTGAGGCAGGAGGATTACAAACTGGGGTCCAGCCTGGGCAACTTAATGAGATCCTGTTTTAAAAAAAAGATGGGATATAGTCAAGTAGTATAGAGCGATACATGCACACAGTGTTGGCTACTCAGCAATATAATTGACATAGTTGAACCGTGAAGGGAAAGATATATTTATTATTAACAATGAGATGTTAATGAGAAAAGCTGTCTGAAAACTGGAAGACAAGTCCAGAAGGGAAAACAGCAAGTTGAAAAGCCACAGTGAATTAAATGACGGAATTTTCAGAACTCATTACTTTTTTAGAGGAGACTAAATTTATATTTGTATGTAGTAAGTGACCCTCATTTAAAAAAATTAAAAAACTTTCCTATATCCTGTGTTTATTATGAGCCAAGTACTCCACTGTTGAAATTCTAATTTTATTGCCACGGCAGAAAATTCCTCATTTAGTCACACACGGGCACAGGCAGCAAGCAAATGAGGTCAAGCGAGGCAGAGTCCAGCTAGACAGGAGATGCGGCCAGGTATGGCATGTTCGGATGACAGATGTCAACCCCGGCGACGCCAATAGAAGCAGGTGTTCTGGATCCAGGCTTTATCGCGTCTCAATTCCAAGAAATCAAATGCGCACACATGAGTAACAGCTGAGGCACCCAGGCAGCCATTCAACATAGCGCAGACTTAGGGACCCAGGTAGCAAAGAGGCCGAGGTCTCCAAAAATGTAGCCAGAGGGAGAGAGAGGAGCATGCTGGGAGAAAATGATCTCTTCCGGCCGTGAGTCATTGTAAGCTTTAGGTCTAAGGCCCTAGAGCTGATCTCAGAGTCTAGGTGGTACAGACCTCACTGCGGCGCTGACAACAGCAAACAGATCCCAGCTGGGGCAAAAACTGTCGACATGAGAGGACCTTCCTCGTGACACTATTCTTGTTTTTTTTTCATGGTGATGATTTGGTTAAAAATGGTTTTACTCAGATTCTTAAAATCTGCAGTGCTACCAGCTTATTTTGAAAGAACTACACAGGCTGTGAGTGGTGGTAATATACCTGTAATCTCAGCACATGGGAGGCTGAGGCAGGAAGACTGCTCTAAGTTCCAGGCCAGCCTGGAATGCATAATGAGACCCTGTCTTAAAAAACAAAACAAAAAAACCCCATGCAAAGTAAGTAAAAATAAATTAGGAAAACTACAGAAGAAATGTATAATTTATATGCATGTTGTAAAATTAAAAGAAATCAGTCATTTCATTTGTGTATTCTTATTTTTTTTTTTTTGGTACTGGGAATCAAACTGAGGACCTTGTGCTTGCCAGGGAGGTGCTGTACCACCGAGCTATATCCCCGGTTCTATTTGTGTATTCTTTAAAAAGTAATCAAAGAAAGAAAAATGTTGACACAAATTCAGTTTTGATTTAAACAAAAAAATATGCTTACCGGGTCCTTTCTTCTTTTCTTTCTTGAGAGGAAGTCTCGTGCTTCCAGGTGGCAGTTACGCATTCTAATAAAAGTCACCAGTTCCAAATTACAAGCATACACATTGTTACTTTAAAAATTGTTCCTCTAAATGTCTCCAGTGATATCAAACTTACATTTATTTGTCCTTTGTTGACAACTTCACAAATAATTGTTCAATGCATTTTTGTCTCCTTTTGCTCTAGGAAGTTTAGATTGAGCTTGCCAATAAAATGAAAGTTAATGTACTATTATAGACATTTTAGATACTAAGTCTTGGGGCTGGGGATTTAGCTCAGTGCCACAGTGCCTGCCTAGATACTAAGCCTTTTTTTATTTTATGAAAAAATAAAATTTCATAACAAAAGGATGAGAATCATAATAGTTAATACACCGTGTATTATCTTCAAAGTGGTTACTCAGAGTACAAGACAGACCAAAAAGATTCTTATAAGAAAAAAAAAATAGATAATAACACAGAATACTCTTTTCAGTGAACAAAGCTAAACTAGTAGTATAAATGAAACAAATTAGCAAATAGATTAAGATAGTTTTGAAGCAAGGGAATATGTAGTTGGGGGAAGTATTTGAACTTTTCCCTCCTTCCTGTTTATCTCTCTTCCATCTTGCTTTTTATTGCCCATAAAAGAGGATGAAATGCTTAAGCTTGTGTGTTCTACTTATTTCACTTAACATTATGTTGCATCCATTTACCTACCAACACCTCAAGTTTATCTTTCTTTATGAGCACTCCATTGTGTATAAATACCATTCATCTGCTGGTGGACATATACGCTATTTCCAAGATCTAGCTAGTATAAACATGTGTACTCATGAGTCCCTGTAACAAAATGATTTTAACTCTTTTGGCAAGATACCTTTCAGGGGGATAGTTAGGTCAAATGGAATTTCTATTTTCAGTTTTTTGAGGGCTTTCCACCCTCATTTCCATAGTGGTGGTACTAGTTTACATTACCACTAACATGTAGAAGAGTTCTTTTCTTGTAAATCTTTCAGTTATTTATTGTTGGAAGAGGAAAAGTAAAACAAAATACAACAACTTGTCAAGTAGGCCTGACCTGGGCTACCCAGAATGCATTTCAAAAACTTGCAGGGCATAAAATAAAGATAAAGCTATCTAAAGTAAATTTTTTTTTTTTAAATTTAAGAATGTTACAAACCCCTAGGGTAATCAGTAGAATAATTATATGTAGGTTTCATCTTTCTGTCTCAGAAATGTTTCAGATATGTCATACTTCAAAATCCTGTCCTGGGAAATTCATGTGTTTAATTTTACAGCTTTTCATATTCAATTACCCACACTTTCTTTCTTTCTTTCTTTCTTTTTTTTTTTTTCCAGTACTGGGAATCAAACTCATGATGTTGCACTTACCAGGCAGGCACTATGCCACTGAGCTAAATCCCCAGCCCCCACCCACAGTTCCTTTTCTCAGATTGATATTCTTTCCTTCTGTTATCTTCCTTTTATGTGCAGTTCACTGCACGTGAGGTGGGCCTTTTTCTAAGGCTCTTCATGATCTCCAGGACTGCCAGCTGGTTGCCAGTGGCCACTGTGCTAACTTTGGCAGACCCGGTGGTTCAGCTCAGCCTTCCAGCCTTGGAGATGCCGCAGAAGAAAATGAGCCAGCCCAGGGCCTGGTCACCTCTCCCTCTTTTCCTGTAATCATAAGCTGTCTTGGTTCTTTTTTCTTGTTGCTGAGACAAAGTATCCAATGCCCAAAAATAAGGAAGGAAAGGTCTATTTAGCTCATAGTTTGTGGAGGTTTCAGTCCATACTTGGCTGGCTCCAAGGCAGTGCGGCACGTGGCAGAGGGCAAAAGTTCATGGTGGTGGAAGACAACAAAAGCAGCAAGAGCACAAGAGAGGAGTGGCAGAGAACAAGGCTCCTTCCCTCCCTTACATTGTATGCAAACTACCCACCCCAGGGCAGATGTAGAACTCACACCCGTAGTCACAGCACTGGATTATGGATCTATCAAAAACTCTAGAAGCCCTGTCCATGATTGCATGAGGCTTTAGGGGGACATCTAGACACAAACTATAACATAAGTCTTTAGGGAAATGGAAAGGTAGGGAACTTTTGACCTAAACTATAATCCTTCTTATATGACCACAGTTACGCATGTTTTCTTTCTTCTTTTTTAACAGATACAAGACAATTTTTAATCTATAATGAAGATCACAAGCGCTGTGTAGAAGCCGTCAGCCCCAATGCAGTTCAAACTGCCCTTTGCAACCAGGACGCCGAGTCACAGAAATTCCGATGGGTGTCTCCGGTCCAGCTCATGAGTGTTGCTTTTAAGTTATGCTTGGGGGTGCCGTCAAAAACCGATTGGGTTCCAGTCACCCTTTATCCCTGCAACTCCAAAAGTGAAATTCAGAAATGGGAGTGCAAAAACGACACACTTTTTGGGATCAAGGGCGAAGATCTATATTTTAATTTTGGCAATAAACAAGAAAAGAATATTATGTTGTACAAGGGGTCTGGCTTATGGAGCCGGTGGAAGATCTACGGAACCACAGACGACCTGTGCTCCAGAGGTTATGAAGGTGAGAAACTTGGCATTTTTTTACCTTTGCGTCATATTTCTCTCTTTTCCTGAGTTAGAATTTAAGAAAGTAACCATGTTCTTGTATGGTCTGTCTTAGGAATATTAACTGATCCTTTTTCTTTGAGCTTTGGATTTTTCTGTGTTCTAGAACATGGCGCTGGATAAATGTGATAAAAGTTCCTGAATAATATTTTAGCTACCTGTGGCTAATACAATGTTACTTTTGAGTTTCTCTGTATGTTTTCAACTTTGTGTTACAATTTTCAGAAAACCACTTTCACTGTAATCGTTGACTTAAATCTTGCTAGTTAATTTTATAAGATTTAGTGATAAATAAGTCTAACCCAACTATTTATTTCCTTTAAGTCTTCCTGGAGAAATGATCCTCAGAGCAATATTCTTTACCAATTCAGGTTGCCTGAGATGAAATTTTGACCAATTCCCTGACAGTTTGGGCTTCTAAGTGTTTCTGATTTATTTTGTCACTCTTTGAGTACTAAGTGAATGTACTAACCAGATCAGAAAAACTGAGGAGTTGGGTAATAAATTACTATGCACCATATTTAGTTAGCTGTCTTGGAAAGTGGTAGCAGTGGTATGACAGGAAATTATTGTACTGTTTGGCTTTTTGAGTTCTGGATGGTTAAATAAAATAAATATATTTAGTCTTCTTCTATCCTGGTCAACTTTCATTCTCTGGTGGCTGTCACAGAACAAAACAAAAATAAAAAAGAACTTGAAGCTGTGTACAATGGCTGGTCTTTTGAGTCAGATGATAGTGTCACCCCATTTCAAGTTTGGATACTGGGTTATTGTTGAGTGCTATCTAAGAACCTCACAGTCAGGGACAGGGCCTTTCTTCAGGGACAATATATATATATATTTCCAAAATTACTTTGTTACTGGGACTGCTAAGATGTGTTGAACCTAACTTATCCCAGTTAAGACAAAGCTCAGGAATTCAGTTTTTGTAAGCAGATAATTTGTTAGCTTTCCATTTTCAGGGACAGTCCAAGTAGAAGTTGAACTGGGGCGAGTAGGGCTCAGAAAAGTCATTTGAAGCCACTTATTGAACACAGTGCCTGAATTGGAGATTATAAGCAGCAGCCTTCTGACAAACTCCTTACTAGCTAAACGACTAAGTGTCTTTTGAGAACTTTTTCAAATCACAAAATCTCTGAAAGGTAATTAAGAATCCTTACCTGGGATAAACTCTGAATGTCAACTGGCAGCACAAAGCCAATGTAAAGGGTTGTCTTCTCCCAAAGTGGGAACCCCTAGAAAGATAAAAACGTTAAATGTTCGGAAGCATTTATCTAGGAGAAAATCAATAGAAAATTAAAGGGCAAGACAATGGTAAATCAAACTTGACTGCGTCAGTTTCCACAAGTGGAATAGCTGTGCTAATCAAGGAATTCAGTTTGATGAAGCCTGGTACTAACACATTACTGGACTTGTTTTAACATACAATACCTCAGCTCCCCATCTCCCTCCCTTTCTGTTCTCCTGTACGTTTTGTGACAAATGTACACAGGGCTTGGGAGAGTGGCTGTCATCCTTCAGTATGCTTAAGAATAATTTGGAGGGCTTGTTAAAAATGCAGACCCCCCATTCTGAATGTGCACAGAATGGGAAGGGCCAAGGATGTTTTGAATCATTTTTATGAAGCTGTGGGTGTTACCATGCAGAGAGTCCACTGACCACCTTCTGCATACTCTAGAAAGACCTCCCAGGATTTAAAATTCTCCTGCCTGAGGATCTAGACCCTCAGAGTGACCCTGAGAACTGTTACATAGAATATACATTAAAACTGATGACAACCTGAGTTGTAGCCCTGGCTGATTCTAAAGTTATTTTAGAATAATAAAATCAAAGCTGTAGACTTGGATGAATTTGAGAATTGTCTGGAACTTTGGACCACAGGAGGAAGAGTACTTTGACTGCAGTTATGATTCTTTAGTGACGTGGCCAGGGTAGAAGTTCATTCTTTCAGTCTTCTTAGTGCCTGTTGTCTAGACTGGATTTGTAATTATTACATAAGCTGAGGTAGTCCTGAAAGAGCCCTTTAGGATTGGCATCTATGAACCCAGCAAAACATTTTCTTGACCAGCTTAGTGAATAGTGCCTCTAACCCTGGAGAGGTCTTTATGGATTTTCTTCATAGAAAGGTGCAGGTATCCCAGTGAGCAAGAGTTGGCATGATTCTTCCAGAATCTAGCATGTAGCAGACGCAATTTGATTTGGGAGACTAGCCCTGAAACTTACGATAGAATAACATAAATGATAGAATAACATTTTAAAGTTATTAACAACTAGTTAGTTGATAAAAAAGTAATTTTGAGATAATTAAAACTAAACCTAGGTGGGATAAGTCCAAGGAATAAAAGAAAAGGACAGAAATGGAAGGAATTAACATTTATTGTGTCCTTAATATGTGCTACATGTCTTATAAACTTCTTACTAGCTAAATGACTAAGTGTCTTTTAAGAACTTTTTCAAGTCACAAAATCTCTGAAATGTGATTAAGAATTCTTACCTAGGATACACTCTGAATGTCAACTGGTAGCACAAAGCCAGTGTAAAGTGGAAAGCCCTAGACAGATAAAGACTTTAAATGTTCTGAAGAATTTATCTATATGAGTGGTGGGATTGTCAGTGGAAATAACTATGAGCTTCTCCAATCCTCTTGGTTTAAACCAAACCATTACCAGCTGTGGTTCTGGCTGTGTGTGGTGGTATATTCCTGTACTCCCAGGATTCTGGGCAGGTAAGGCAGGAGCAGCACAGGCTGAGCAGTCTGGCAAATTTTTAAGAGCCTGCTCAAAATATAAATTAATTAATTAATTAATTAATTAATATCAGGAGATACAGCTGAATGTGAAGGCTCTGGGTTCAGTTCCCTGAACACCCCCTCCCCAAAGGGTAAAAACCCTAGTGACTGCATATTTATTTTAATGTTCCTTTCTAGCTGAGTGCAGAACTTTGCATCTTTGCATTTAATCTTTTTGAATTCAGATTTTAAGAAGACAAGTGTCAATGGTAGATAATATCTCATGGTTTTGGTGGTTTTGAGTGGTTTCATTTCATGGTATCAATTAGAGAACCAGCCAACATTCCTACCCTTTCTCACAATCTCTGTTACAGACACTGGATGAACGAGAAAAGATTGGAAGGAGGTTAAATGTCACCTGGGCTACCTAGCTTTAAAGTTATTTTCAAGCTAATGCTTCAGTAATGCTATGGTTTCAACCAAGAGGAAGGATGGCCTTTCCTCTGTTTTGGAGGAAATGCAGAAGTTAACGCTGGTGTCACTAGAAGTGACTATTATTATTCTGTAAGAGGAAGGAGGAAAATCTGTTCCAACAGAAGTGGAAATGTAGTGCCTATGTCATCTCCTGGAGGGGTCCCGCCACAGAATGGAACAGCGGATGAAGGGAAGAGGGGTCTCTCCTGCTTAGCTACACTAAGTATGGTTAAAAGAGCAAGTCCAGTTCTTGCAATAGACTTCTTACAGGAAATTCAGTGTTAAGAATTACCACTGTGCTTATCATTGTTCCCATAGTCATGTACACGCTGCTGGGCAATGCAAATGGAGCCCCCTGTGCATTCCCGTTCAAGTTTGAAAACAAGTGGTACGCAGACTGCACAAGTGCTGGCCGGTCGGATGGATGGCTCTGGTGCGGGACCACCACAGACTATGACTCTGATAAGCTGTTTGGATTTTGTCCTGTGAAATGTAAGTAACCACTTAACAAAAGACATCTGATGCATTCGCTTTGGCTAGGAGGTGAGAAGACCTGTGTTTATCCAGACTGTTTTCCTCCCAAAGTTATTCACATGCATTAACCTGCTATATTCTGCCATTACTCTTTACACATATCATTGTTCCCATTTTACAATGGACAAGATGATTCATGTTGGCCAAAGACTAGAACACAGACTTTTCTCGGTCCTGGGCTCTTTGATGTGTATTTAGCTCTTGCTAATGTTAGACTGTACCCGAACTGTCCCTGTATCGAATGGCCCCTTCCATTTTTAGCAATTATCAGTCATTTTCTAAGACTATCAGCATATTATATATGACGCAATATTATACTCCATGCTGGAGATGGGTACACCGTTCCTGTAATCCCCTACTGTGTTTAACTTTATCAAACCGCAGATGGAAACCAGAATTTAGATGATGCCATCAGTATGGTTTGTTGGGAGAGGGACACAAGCAGGCTCCTGCACTGTGACAATATGTTGAAAAGGACTCCTCAGGGTGAAAATGGTATGAATCGTGTCCTTCTTAAGCTTAATCTAGAAAGGGCATCATTTAATTTAGCACAGTTATGAATCCATAGAATTGGGTAATTTATATGCAAGCAGGTCTTTTAGAAATAAAAGTTTGAGTGTTATTGCAATAATGCAAAAATAAAGTTATGTTAGGGGCATCACAGCTGGCAAAGTGTTGGTTAAGAACAAGTAAAGAGACAGCACAGCTGGTTTTAGGTGGGGTGGAGGCGGGCCTCCGTGCTGGGAGGCAGATCTGCGCTGAAGAAAGAGGAAAGGGTGAATTCTTTGCTTCGCTTACCCCATCACACGTATCCTTCCGCTGCTAGTTTCTCATTTCCTAAACTTCTTACCCTCTGACCTCTTTAACTTGCTGCTTCAGATGAGATCAGAGCAGCTCCAGTTTCCTGGCATCACCCAGAACTCTGTTCTTGCAGAGGGGCAGGGGCCAGGGCTGGGCACGCAGTGTGGTTCAGGATGGTCTCAGTAGCATCACTTACTACTAAGTTTTGTCACCACAACTCCACACAGAAATGCATATGCCAGGACAAAAATACCTTCATTTGTCAAACTGAAGCCAAGCTGCTAAGAACTTTCTTTATCTCTTGGGATTCATCACCCCTAATTATTCCACTAAAGCTAAATTTGATTTCTTAGTCCCACTGGCCATGGTAATTGTCTTCTTTAAGCCCTCTGCTCTGGATAAATGCCTGTAAAGATGACAGGCCTTTGGCTTACTATGGCACTCCTCTCTGGTCCTGATGGGGGCATGCCGCTTTTCTGTCCACATTTAGAGATTTGATTCCAGTGGAAAGTTTATAGATGTCTAGTTTTTGCATGAGAAATCTTTTTGTCTGAAAAAATAGTAGAACCTTTCCCTGACTTTATAAATTTAAAAGATAAAATGGTACTTGTTTAGTGATTGAAGCGTAGAGCTTGTATTTCTTAAGTTTGAATACAGCATCCCCCATTTAAAGGATATTGACAAAAGAAATGTTGGGTGGATGTGTGATGTAACGAATGGAATGTGGACGACAGAGGGTGAACTACTAATCACAAAACTCACAACCTGGGTGGTCCAGGACCATTTTTCCTCCAAAGGGGTGAACAGTATATATTGAAGCAATATCCTGAGTATATTCTGTAGAATAATTTTTAACCTGTATTCCCTTACCTATTTATGTATTGTTTATTATTATACATTTCTATAGTCAGCAGAGTAATTTTTAATGTTATTACTTCTAAGTTAGTTCGTCAAAACCAAATTATGTACTTTTCTCTGTTAAATGTAAAACAAGTGTAAAAAATGAAAGCATTGTTTGATTTCACAGTTAAATTTAAAGCATAATTTACAAATTTCATGCCAAAAGGGCTTGGTAATTTCACAATCTCTTTCGTTTTATGTTCCTTTCAAAAGAAGATTTTATTCTATAGTAGCCTAAAACTTGTAGGTTCAATAGAGGAAAGCAATGTACTAGTTTATTGACCCTGAATATATGCTCATCGTTGTCCTTTGGTTTGTTTATTGTGATGTTTTCCTTCTATTTAGACCTTTAAAATATCATGAGAACAGGAAGAGGAAAAGACTCTGCTTTCAATTTCCTATAGCTTGCAACTTTAGCTTTCACCATGAGTGTGGTGTTTATGGGGGAAGCTTGAACCCTTGGGCTGATGTTATATAGTCAGCAAACTTACACATTCAGAGAGAGAGATGTTTTAATTCCTTGATTTACAATGTAAAACATATATTTTCTTTAAAGGAAGAATCTATTGAGTTTTCATCTTTGTTTATTTATACCCCTTTTCTCTATTTCTGGAGAAAATAATACTTTTATTCATCTCTTATAATTTCCTACCATATTATAAACCAAACTTCTGAATTTCTAAAAATATTTGCTTCAACCATCTTCAACTTCAAATGTACCCCAAATAAGTCTCATGTGGATGATCTCAATCACATTGACATCACACTTATAAGGCCTCAGATATAATTTAAGATTAACATTACTAATTGAAATTCATTTTTATGTGAACATATAGGGACTCTATAATTATTTTAGGCCTAGGAATGTAGATTGGTTGCCTAGTGTGGTTTGATCCCGAGCATCCTAGATACAAAAAAATTGTAAATATTTATGCTATTGTCAGAATCAAATTCTAATGTAGTTTTCTTCCTTTTTGACGCACCATAGACCACAAATTTCCTATCGCAGGGTGTGGTCCGTGTAGACATAAAGTTCTGTGGTCATCAGATGCAAAACACAATTGAGTTCCAAGTTAGGAAGCCCAGCAGCTTGGGCTAGATGCTTACGGAGAACTCTGAACTTCTCAGCCAGTTCAGTACTTCTCAGGGAATTTGAGAAATTACATAATCCTTTCTCTCTTCCTTTCAAATAAATGGAGAGATGATTTCTTCCATGACTTGTGCATAGAATTTTATATTATTAAAAATGGGAAATTTTCACAATATGAAACATACGAAAAGATCTCACTTCTTTACTGACTTCTCAAACATCTTGCATATAAATGGCTGTAAATACTATTTATTACCTTACTACCAGGGGTCTTTCACAGAGCACACAAAGTTTATAGAATATATTGGGCATTGTATGCTCTCACCATTCCCAACTTTATCTGCAGATTAAGAATGTTGAGCTGGGCACTGTGGTGCACACTTGTTATCTCAGCTACTTGGGAGGCTGAGACAGGAGGATTGCAAGTTCGAACCCAGCCTGAGCAACCTAGTGATTTAGGGAGAACCTGTCTCAAAATAAAAACAAAAATGGCTTGGGAACATAGCTCAGTCTCAAGGCCTTGGGTTCAATCCTCAGTATTAAAAAAAAAGTTGGGCCAATCTCCTTTTTATCTTTATATTTGCCTTATTTCCCAACTTGATCCAAGGGAGATAAAGACTCCTTTTTTTAAATGTATCTATTAGTTGATATATGTTTTTTTCAGTTTTAATTTTTTATGAACACATGCCTGCAGTATATATATTTTTTAAAGAGATAGAGTGAGGCTGATACTTTGAACACCCCACTTATTTCAAGAGTGAATAAAATCCAAGTGGCTTTAAAAATAATTGAGAGAAAAAGAAAAAAGGGAAGAAGTAGAAACACAGTGGTTGGAGCAATTGTGCTGTTGGGATGACTTAATAAATACTGTTCCCCGGAGGTGTTTCCGATACTTAACGCAATGATTGCCACGTGACATTTTTTGCAGTTGAGGGCAGTGGAAGATTATGGACGAAGGACCCACTGACGAGCATCCTTTACCAGATCAACGCCAAATCTGCGCTGACATGGCAACAGGCGAGGAGGAGCTGCCAACAGCAAGACGCTGAGCTCCTGAGCATCACAGAGATTCATGAGCAGACATACTTAACAGGTAACATGATGCCAAGGAAGCCAAGTTGTAAGCAAGATCAGGATTATATTATTTCTACCTAATTTAACTTAAAAGTAGGCAGCGCCAGTGATTCTACGCATCATGGTAGAGATGTTCCCTGAGCAGATGGTGCAGATGATAGACAAATCTTCACTCTGAAACTGACCCCGGCGATGGGAAGTAGGTCTCATTTCCTGCGCCGACTTTGTTCTTTTGGTTGTGACTGTCCCAAGAGCCCGTGCTACAAAGGACCCGGAGGATTTATTGGCCATAACTGATGAATGATATTGTTCTTGGACACAAGCAGTGGCACATTCTGGTCAAGTAGTCACTAGCCAGGTCTCACTGGAAGTCAGAGGTCTTTCTTTAACACCATAGAGTTGGAGATGATTAACCGAAGTACTGGTCCGGCCAGCAAAGACAAATCAAGAACTGCTCTGAAATCCTGAGTCCTCTTTATCTCTTGTCTCCTCAATTTTTAGACCCCATCATTTTTCACATCTTATCAATAGCCTTTCCACAATGTGCTTAAACATCTGTTGTCAGATTAGAAAGATTAGAAAAGGTAATGTTTGCTTGAGAAGAGAGGATCTGCTTTAGCTTCTAAAAAAATCAATCTTGGGGAGGCAGAATTCACAACGAGAAATGAGTGTGGGGAGAACCACATCTTGTCGACCACTTTCAGAATTTCCTCCCCCCATTTCAGCCTGACACTATTATTAACATGTCACTGACCCTGTGGATGCCTTGTTTATCTTTAGTGGCCTTTCATTTCCTGTCAAATGGCTAACACCTAGAGGCTATCAGTGGTTTACTTATTACTCTTTTTTTGGTGGTACTGGGGATTGAACTCAGCACCTTGTGCATGCTAGGCAAGCGCTCCACCACTGCACTACATCCCCAGCCCCTACTTACTACTACTTCATGCATTTTGTCCTCTTCACAAGAGAAGTCTTATGTTCTCCATAGATAACATCGATGTCTCGTATTTCTCACTGCCTTATCTTTTTCTATGCCATTAAAAAATGTGGGACTCTCCAAATTTTATACACTGGAAAAATAATTCCTTCCATTTCCCTTATCTGTTTAGCAGCTTTATAACAGCTACTCCCATACATGTCTCATTTCTCCTACAAGAATACAGAAACTCCTTGTTTAATGACTGAGTTTCATTCCTGTGATTCCATCATGAAATTCATCCCTAAATCAGGAATTGTGCCTAGCATGTACATTACGATATTTAGAACAAAGACATGGTCAAAGGAAAGAAATGGTCAAACTCCAACTTGATGACTTTGCTTTTATTTGCATAACTCTTCCATGTAGTACTATAATGTACAACAGAACATAAAACTACAGTGCTGTATTGTATAGTAAATCAGCAAAAATTAAAGCACTGTGTAAACAAGATGTTCTGTATCAAAAAAGACTTTGAGGTGCTATAAAGATGTACAGAAATGTAGAAATTAGACAGGTCATAATTCTGAGTGGCAGGTCATACGTTCAGACAGTTGTTAAACAGGTTATTAGGTGAGGAATATCTATACATGCATTACATTTTTTTGTTTCTTCATTCATTTAACAAACTCTCAGGTGTGCCGGGCACTGTGTTAGCTCCTGGGGACCCAAAATTGACCCCATTCTGTCCACATAGAGCTTAAAGAGCAGTGGAGAAAACATATAAACAAGAAAGCAGACGAGTAAGTACAAATGCCACGCAGGAAGCAATGAGCTCTGTGTGAGGAACGGAATAGTGAGGCTGACAATGACGAACATCCCGTGATGTTCCTGTGTCCTGTGATGTCCTGTGCCCCTGCCCCTGGGGAGAAGGAAGACTCACATAGAATCTTCCAAGAAAAAGAGTCTCAGTGAATGTTTGCTGACAGACAAATGATGCTGCAGCTAAATATAAAATAATTATTTAGGAATTGAGCCTAACGTTTGGACAACAGGACAGTTTATGGCAAGACCACTGTTAAGTGGTGCAGCTCTTAAAGGACCAGTTGCTCATTCATCATCTCGGAACTTTGCTGGAGTGAAGAGGCCAGTGAAGAGATTTCGGATCAGCAGCTGTTTCCCAGGGCTATGTTTTATCCACCTCTTAGGCGATTCTGGTGCAGAAGGTTGAGGGACCATACTGGCATAAGGCTGTGACAGTACCTGTTACCCAGCCACTGATACAGGAAGCAGGGGTCACGGGCACACACTGTGGATCCAGACTGTCTGGGTCCCCTGTCTGAAATTGGGTGGGCAGCTTTAGGGACACTACTGGGGGCTTCCTTGCCTCAGTGGCCAGATGTATTAAAGGGATATTGTGCATGCACCAACATGAGGACCACGGCGTGCCCTCCCTCCTGCCTGCCTTCTCTGAACTGGCATTTTCCCAGCTGTCTGGGGGATGCACTCTTTACCAGCTGCAACCCATTTCTCCTTTAGCTTGTCCTTAAGTGGACAGAGCGTGGAAAAATAATGTGACCTCACAGTGTGTGCGCGTACACTTAGAGTTGAAGGAAGAAATTCTGCCTCTGCTCAGTTACTCTGTTTTGTGCTGGTCTTTGGGACCTTTCTAATACCAGGACAAATATCTGAGCGATTGATATTTACAAGCAGGAATAAAAATACAGAGACAGAGAGGGCAAGGAAAGAGATGAACATAAATTCATGTAGATGATGAAGGAACAGAAAGAGGTGATTCAAGGCAATGCTCGGGTCATCTGTGCACATTTACACGCAGTGGAGAGACACATCTCAAGGTTGAAATGGCTGCACTCGCACCTGTTCTCTTTTGAAATCTGGATTGTGTTTTCTTGACTTTTTCAATTTTCACCTTTGTTCTAGCTGTCCGGAAGCCAGGGCACAGAACATAGATAGCTTTTTAGTCTTTCCTCCCACTGCCCAGACAGCGACTCTGCCTGGTTGGACTCATTAGAGCATCATTAGTGTGTCTCCTGGGGGAGCCAAAATGTCCCTGGGCCTTCAGGGCTGAGTTCACCTCAGTTGCTCACTTGAATCTTATTCAAGCCTCTGAGATTTCAGTCAGCACATTTTAACTACAATCTGGATAAGAGCGAATTTTCTAAAGAGATTTGGAGCACTGCCCGCCTTTCTGTAAGTCAAAAATATCCTGCAATAAGAAAAAAAAAAGCCTGACAGGAAATGCAAAAGATAAAACAGAGGAAAGACATTCCTTTTTTGCTAAAAGTATTTGCAACATTTGATATTAATTGGGAAAGATTGAGGAAGAATCTAGAAAACTGGTATGAGTGGGTGTTTGTAATCCCGCTCTGTTTGGAAATACGCTGTTAAAATGAAAAGCCACGGATATTTAGACTTTTAAAATAATTAAGATCAAGGCTGGGGATTTATCTCAGTACTTGCATAACAGGCACAAAGCTCTGGGTTCAAATCTATTAACACACACACATGCATGTGTGCACACACACACGCGCAAAGTAAAGCTTATTGTGGATTTTGAGATGTAAATACTTTTTTAAAATGTGTAAATCATTTTGATGATTCTGAGGTTAAATGCACTGTCATTTACTGAGCAGCGGCTGTGTGCCAAACACCAGACTTTATATTTGAAGCCCCCACCAACCCTGTAAATAAATATTCTTATCCACATTTTATAGATGAGCTGTCAGACCAGGAAGAAGAAAGGAAACTGTCTTAATACTTTGCATCCCGATGATAGCTGAAGTGGAGTTCAGTTGTTTTCTGTTTCACCTGCCTGTGTCTCACTTGCTCAGTAAACTTAATTTATATATTGACACCTAGCTTCAGGAAGTGTGTTCCAAACTGGCAAAATGATCTGGTAGGGTCTGCAGGGCAAGACATTTCAGCACATCACTCACAGCCGTCATATCATCCTCACTTCTGTTTCTGCCTTTCTCTAAGTCAAAAGGTCAGGACCATATTTAATCCTCAAACCTTGAATCTGTTTTATAACTACTGTATGCATTTGCAGGAAGTGAAAGTTTTCTTGTTACCCTCAGTATTTTTACCAGTTTTCTTAGGAACTGAGTAGAAGACAAACTGAATCTCTGTACAGAAATAAAAATAAAAATATCTGATACTGTTCACTAATATATATCCTATCATAGCTAAGTCCACAAGCTGGCATACAACAATTCATGCAAAAAGATTGAAAACTTAAAAATTTAGGACATGCACACACACTTTGTAGGATCTCACTAAAGAATGTTCGTGTGGCTTTTTGTAAAATTATAGATGAGTATTAGAGAGAGAAATTGTGGATGACTGTCTTAGTTACTTTTCTCTCCTTGCTGAGACAAAATACCCGACACCCAAAGTTAAAGAAGGAAGGTTTTATTTGGCTCACAGCTTGTAGCGGTTTCAGTCCGTAATTGGCTGGCTCCAAGGCAGGGTGGATTGGCAGAAGAGAATCACAGAGGAGAAACAGTTCATGGTGGCAGAAGGCAGCAGAAGCAAGCAAGAGAAGAGAGAGACAAGCCTCTTTCTGTCCCTTATGTTGTGCCCAGGCTACTGGGAATAGGGCGGTGCCAATCCAATGAGTGGACTGATAAATCACCCTCCCTTAATCTCAGCACCCTCAATCCCAGCATTACATGAACAATCAATCACACCCTAGAGACCCAGCCACTTCTGAAAAAGCCCTAGGACCGCATGAGACTGTGGGGAACATGTAGACTCAACCATAACAATGACTCGCAGGGACTTTAAACACTGCCTATTTGTGGTATGGTGGAGTTGGGCTGGAATTTAGGACCTCAGGCTGAGTAGGCAAATACTCTTCAGCTCTTTAAGGGGTGCTTTTGATACAAAGCTTGAACTTTGTTTCTAAATCATACCCTTTGCTCACATTCTACATGCAGCTAATAAAAATGATGACAATAATTATAATGACAGCAACCATTTATACTTACTGAGCACATACTATATTCAGGCCCCATTTTAAGAAGTGTTAATTATTCAAAACCAGCTTAGAAGTACCTAGAACTGATGAAGCATACCAAAGGATAGATACTTCACTTAAAGAGCTATAATCAGCTGGATGTGGTGTTGTATGCTTGTAATTCTGGCATTCTGGGAGGCTGAGGCAGGAGGATTGTAAATTTGAGCCCATCTTGGGCAACTTAGTGACCCAGTGAAACCCTGTTTTTAAGTAATAATAACGGGAGAAGAGGTATAATCATTTTTTATAAGGCCATTCAGTAATTTAGCTAAGCAGGTGTAGGTAAAATATACTTTAGTTCTTCTTTAATTAGTGTATTTTTTATAGTTTTGAAACTGACTTATGTCTGTTTTCTTTTTTTGATCAGATTTTATTGATACATTTTAGATATACATAATGATCACATTTATCATAGAGAATTAGCACCTGTATATGATATAACTGTTTCTTTTTTTCCCATTCCCCTACCCTCCTTTCAACCCCTCCTCCTCTCCCCATTTATGAAGCTTTGTTTCCATTTTTTCCTGCTTATTTTTTTACTTTCCTTCATTTTCCCCTCCCTTACTCCCTTCTACATTTGAACATTTTCTTCCTATTTCACAATACCTATTATACATTTTGGTCCTTATTTACACTTTGAGTTTCTCACACCAGAGAAACAATGATTTATTTGTGTGTGTGTGTGTGTGTGTGTGTGTGTGTGTGTGTGTGATTTATTTCACTTAGGAATGTGGTCTCAAGGTGCATCCATTTACTCAGAAATGTGTGTGCAACGTGGATGGACATATAAAGTGTAGTATGATGCTTTTAATTCTTGTGGAAAGTTACCAAGAAAGGGAATAGCTGGATCAAATGGAACCTCTAGAACTGGTGTTTTGAGGAATCGCCACACTGATTTCCACAGTGGTTACACCAGTCTACACTCTGTCCAAAGGTGGAAAAGTGTTCTTTTTTCCCTACAGACCCATCAGCATTTATTACTTATTGATTTCTTGATAATAGCCATTCTTTCTGGGTTCAGATGGAATCTCAGCACTGTTTTAATTTGCATTTCTCAAATGACCAGTGATGCTGAACGTTTTTTCATATATTTATTTGCTATTTGTACTTCTTCATCTGAGAAATATGTATTCATCTCAGATGCCCATTTTTGGATTGAGTCTTTAAATTAGTGGGGGGGGAGCTCTGATTTTTTTGAGTTCTTTATATATTCTAGATAGTAATCCTTTGTCTGAGGAACACCTGCAAAATTTTTTTCCGACACTGGAGGTTGTCTTTTCACTCTGTTGATTTCTCTTGCTGTTATGCTATTTTCTTAACTTGTACATTTTTTTTCTAAGATCCCAGAGTAGTTAATTTTGAGAATACTTTCATTTAACATATATTTGAAATGCTGTTTTTAGGAGTACTTCATCTGGTACATCCCCCTGAAGGTATAGAGAGAAGTACTATTCAAGTTAGTATAACTAGAAAGGATTTGTGAAAATCATCCAATATTCAATGAAAAGTAATAGAGTAACTATGAACATAAAGAATGTCATCAGTATAAAACTGGTTTGAGACTATTTCTGTGGTACAGTCTGCAGACAGGGGTCTCCTCTTGACACCTCATGTGTAATGAGGTAGAAGAACACCCTTAGTTGGTTTCTTTACCTTAAAGAGGGAAAAATAGTAATATGATACTCAAAATAATTTTCATAATTGTGTGAAATAAAGAAATAAAAATAATTGATGACATGAATAGCAATGAAATTGTTTTAATTTAGATGAATTCATTTTTTAAAAATTTTAATGTATTAGTCCACTAGTGTGGTATACAATGTTTACATTCCTTGTGGGATGTCAGTACTTGTAAATAACACATCTTAGTTCCTCTTTTCATCCTTGTTGTCTTCCTCCCTCTCTGCTCCACCCATCCCTCAATCCTCTTCCTTTTCTTTTTTTGTACATATTTTCAGTACATAATGTTTGCATTCCTTATATGGAGTTGTATTTTTTGAAGTGAATGTGGCCATGCTTGATAAAGCTAATCTCCTATTTAACACAAAACAAAGTTCCTATATTGATAATGTCATATCCTTGGCAAAGCCTTATAACAAATATTTCTATATTTGGGGGGTAAAATTCTAATGTTCTGGGATGAGCGTTGGAGTCGGCTATTTTTGGGAAGCAAAGATATGCCTTAGATGTTATCTGTCTAGTTCAGCCCTCTTTCCTTAAGTGTGCTCTACTGTTTAAAACTGTGCAGAAAATGTATTTTAGAAATAAGCCACAGGCAAATTTAGTTTCAATAAGGATTAATATCCCCTGGAAAAACTAAATTGAACCTTGGGTTCTGATCCTGGTGTGATAATACTGTTTTTCTCTCTATAAATTGTTCAGCCCCTGTTCTCATCTGTGGAACAAAGGAATTGGACTAGAAATCTCCGAAAGTACATAAAGCATGAAAGTGAGAGAGCTGCGCTACCTCTTAAACTTTTTTCTAGTACTCTTGATAAAAAATAAGTGGATTTGAATTCAGTGTTATTGATTTTGACAAGTCAGCATTTAATTTTGTTCTATTTGCCTTTCATGACTTTATTTATTTTTTTAAAATTTCTTTCTTTCTTTTTTTTTTTTTTTTGGTTTTTCTCCAGTACCGGGAACCGAACTCATGACCCTGCGCTTGCCAGGCAGGCACTTTTGCCGCTGAGCTAAATCCCCAGCCCCTCATGACTTTATTTAAATAAATCACACATCCATCTGGTATTGAGGTCATTTTAGTTTGTTAAGCCTCAACCTCCCTAATCAATACCCACCTAATCAGTATGTTCAAGAGGCTTTCTCTTTACAAATATCCTCCCTGCCAGGTGGGGAACAGGCCCTAGGCGAGCACACAGATCACAGGCTGTCTTACAGAACTGGATACAATAAATGTGAGACTGGATTTTAGGCAAGAAGTCCCAATGCCCCTTTCATTCATTTCAACAGGTGACCTGAATATGTGTATATGCAAGCTAATAGGAAATGGTAAGGACTTTAGTGGCTTTGCAATCCATCAGAGCGACTTTGGATGTATCAGAAATATGGAGTCCGAGTTTGGTATCATATGCACCTGGGCTCAAGTTTCAGCTCTGCTGTGTTATTTAAGCTCAGTATTCTCACCTACAAAATGGACATGATTCCTAACTCATAGTTTATCAGGATTAAGTCAATAAATGCAGTGCACTCAATATTGTCAATGATCAATAATTGGTAACTCTTACTGCTGAAAGAATTGATTGGGTGAATCTATCCTACAGATAACAATAGTCATAAACTCAGTCATTTCTATACCAACATAAACACATCCTTGAGGTTGGTATTTTATTAATATAAGGAGTATTTTTTAAGAAAAATAATTGTTCTTAATTAATTATAAGAATTTAGAGAGAGCAAGAATTCCTAACTGTGGTCTTTAAAAGAATACAGGTAATAAGAGGTAAGCTTTTCACACTGGGAGGTCCGTGTTGCTTCTGACTTTTGCTCTGTGTAACAGTCCTCTGTATCAGGCCTGGCACAGCTTGAAGCATTGCAATTATGATTTATTATCTGCCTAAGTAAAGCACTGCTCATATTAACATAAACAATTAGTGTTCTACATTGAGCCATCATTTTAAGAAAGAAGAAAAATTGATTTAAAAATCATAAAACATCTTAAATTCTGAATTATGAAGTTAAGGTAATAACTGATGAACATGGCAGCTTCAAATGTTTATTAAAGTTTTCCACCACAGAAAAATTTGGCTTTCATATAAATCTTATTTTTACTCTCAAATGAAGTAAACACGCCATTATTTAATGATAGTTAAACACAGGTGTACTTAGATTAGATGCTCATTTGCACTGTCATTGAGAAAGCATTTCAAGATGACGGGTTGAAACACTTAGATCTAGGTCAAAATCATAACAAGAGTCTTACTACTGTCTACTCTCTGCCTCAGTTTCTTTGCCTGTCAATGGAGATGATAGTGTCCTTGCTTTAGATTACTAAGAAAATCAAGGAGACATATTGGGCGTGATGATTAGTACTTCCCTCAATTACAGGTAAATTTAAGCCCTTAATTCTGAGTTTCATTCTACTGCCCTTTCTGAATGCCAGTTTTGTTTTGTTTCTTAAACTATAGGATTGACCAGTTCCTTGACTTCAGGACTCTGGATCGGACTTAACAGTCTGAGCTTTAACAGTGGTTGGCAGTGGAGTGGCGGCAGTCCATTCCGGTACTTGAACTGGTTGCCAGGTAAGGCTAAGCCTGTCTATGATTAACTTCACCCAAGTTTTATTCACCTGGATACGATGGAAAACTCTAACATCTAAAATGCAGATCTCAAAGACAAGAACCAGAGACTTTGTCCAATGTACTCCCTTTTGTACCTTGCTTTGAAATCTGCCAGGTGGACTTGAAGATTCTACAGTAAGGTTGGATAGTGCCAGATTCCTGGGTTAAGGACTTGTTTTCCGGGGTTATTGCACAAATCAACACAAGTCTGTTTAAAGTATTCGTGATTTGTAAAGGTGTTATATTCAAAAGCAAATTTTGTAGCTACTCTTAAACATGTTTATTAAATATATTTAATAATTATTTAATAATTACTGTGCTTTTGGTTTTACATCAACCTTGTCATAATCCTTGGAAGAAGCACCCAACAGCTACCTGTAAAGACTGACAAGATGCTTCCATTCTCTCTGCATGACTCACCTTTGAACCTTTTGCCCTAACTTTTTGAATTTCTTGAAATTCCAGTTCAAAGTGCATATGCATAAAATATATTCATGATCTGTAACATATATGCTACATATAATAGTCAAAGATTTTACATATATATTTATACTCACAGGTACACAATATGAACTTAAGTCAACCAAAATTTCTCTGGGTTGGCAAATTTCTGATTATTTGGAGTTATGAATATTTGCAATTTGCTGTCGCTGTTACAAAGACCTTAAGTCTGCATTCACACCATTTTCTCCTGTTTTTAACCTAGAGTTGAATTAAAAACACCATCTCAGTCATAGGTTATAGTATTGCATACTAGCATAAGAAGTTTATTAGCACTTGTCGGCAATTTGTAGTTTGTAGAAAAACAAAGTCAAGGCATGGCTATAAGTACGATAGCTTTCTAATCTCCTGGAGGGCAGAAAATGCTGAAACTAGCTATTCAGGGGAAATGAAAGACCAATGCTGAAACGTTTTTAATCTTATACACTAATTAATATCCACTGCTATTAGTAGCTACTCAAGGCCCTTGATTATGATTCCAACCCTTTAACCCCATTTCAGTGGCAATCTGGTTTATTAGAAAAGAGTACAATGATTGGTTAGTGACATCTGCCATCGGTATAAGATAGGAGAAAAGAAACCGATTGGTTCCACCTTTATCAATTCTGCTGAAAACAATTCAGATACGGTAGTCTTTGATATGCCTAGATTTATTTTTGAAAGCCAGTGAGTGTTTTTTGCAATTGGCTTAAAAATTAAACTTTGTACTTTCTATATTGAACTGTATTGAGAAAAGAAAAACTTTGATAAAATAGTACTCCAAACAGACAGAAAACCGTGAGAGGAAATTTTCAGGGGTTACATTTTGGCTTAAATTGATTAGATTTTACTAGAAATTCTACTTTCAATGCATTATGGCTATAGGGCTGTTTGAATTATTATTATTTTTTTGGCATGCTAAGCATTTACTCACACACATAACCACTCTACCAGCCTGCTCCATGAATATTGAAATGATAGCTTTATTTATGGGAAATAAATATTACAGTAAGGAAATACAACATGTTCATTTTTGTGAGTGAATATTTATTGTGTTCCTACTCATCCACTCTTTTAAGCTGAAGAATACCTTTTGAGCTTAATCATAATAATCTGTTAGGAGACTAGAGTTTATTCTTTTAGTAGCTAAGCTGTTGTACAATATTAAGCCGTTCATTTTCTTCATTATTCACTTTGAGAGCAAAGATAATATTTAACCTTTTGCAATCTAAGAGTTCAGTGAGAGAATTTGGGAACTAACGCTGGTGCAGGTGAGAATATGAAAGTGGAATATTAATGAGAAAAGGAATACAAAGTTTTTCTTGTTAAACCAGGTTTCTGAGAAGTAGGTGCAAGGTTAAATCACCTTCTGAAAGTATGATTTTTAAAACTAAAGTTAGAAACTTTGTAGAATATCATAAATTATTTTTATGTAAATTGTTCAGTCAAGCATCTCAATTGAGGCTTTGCAAGTAATGTATCTACTAGAACACATTTACATTTTGTGAGGATATTTTACATAAATGATGAAAGAGCATGAATAGATATCTGAAAGTTGATAGCGTTATTGTATTAATAAATGTAGAACATGGCTTACTAATGAATATATTAACAATGATTGGCTATAAAAAGTATTATGATTTTTCTGGAAGTTTTTCTAGCACTGACACCTTATCTGTTCTGTTTTTTTGGTCACAACATTGATCAACACATTTTAAAACTGTCATTGGACTTATAACTAACAATCAGAGGTCACAAAGCAGCAATACTAGAAGAGTGTAGCTTACTTGCCCCAGGATCAGGTGTGAAATGTAGCTGGTTTTTTGTTTGTTTGTTTGTTTTGGTTTTTGGTACCAGAAATCGAACTCAGGACCTTGCACTTGCCAGGCAGGCGCTTATGCCGCCGAGCTATAGCCCCAGCCCTAGCTGTTTTTTGAGCACTGGGTTTTATAATCATGTACCAGAGTAGCAAAGAGCATGAAAAATGTAGGTGTCCACGCACACGTCCAATGCATTAGCAACGTTGATTCTGCTTCTTTAATCAGTTTCCATTAAGAAATGAATAAAACATTAGCTCCTAAGAGTATTCTTAAGTGGGTTGAAGATGGTACACTGCAATTCCAGATCTCCCTTCTGCTACCATTGCCCCTGCCATCCCTTTTATTTCCTGTTTCTTCTGTCTGATTGGAGGTTTCCCTATGCCCAGAGATTCCCTAGCCTGGTTCTCACCATTAGTTTGACTTAGGTTTTCTTTTTTCATGTATCAACAATGTTTAATACGGGGAGTTTGGAGCACCATATATTCTTCTTGTTAAGTATCTGTCTATGATACATAATGTAATCCAATGTGACAACTGTTTAAAATTTTAGATTTCTATTCATTTCTGGATGATGGGAAAAACAGTTCAAACAAATATACTTTTCTTTTTTTTTGGTCTTTTTGGTTTTTCTCCAGTACCGGGAACCGAACTCACGACCTTGCGCTTGCCAGGCAGGCGCTTTGCCGCTGAGCTAAATCCCCAGCCCCAAATATACTTTTCTAATCAACATTTCAGGCATTGGAATGATCCACCAACAAGGAAACAAATAGATACCCATCGTGTCTTTTGCTCTGCAGTCAGTAAATATTTATTTGTGAATGTGTAGCAGAAGACAGACTGGGGACCCATTAAATCTCAAGGATGAAAACTCGGGGCTGGGGAGAGCTGTCTGCTTGGAATCCCTGTCACAGCCCACTTTCACTTTCTCGTTTTCTCGAAGGAAGTCCATCAGTGGAACCTGGAAAAAGCTGCGTGTCCCTAAATCCTGGAAAAAATGCTAAATGGGAAAACCTGGAATGTGTTCAGAAACTGGGATATATTTGTAAAAAGGGCAACAATACTTTGAATTCTTTTATAATTCCCTCAGGTAAGTGATCTTTGTTCTGAAGTACACAAAATGGTAGAAGTTAAGGATAAATAAAATTAGAGATTAATTATAATTTGCATGAAATGACTCTAGAGGTTTTATAAATGTAATGATATGCTTACATGGTTTTTTGTTGGTTATTACTATTGGTTTCTAATTTTTCTGAGTATGCAACAGTGTTCTGGCATTGTAGAAAGCTTTGACATAGTAAGAATTTTTTCTTCCCATGGAAGGGTTATTTTTATTATCTTTATGGATCAATCAGGATTCTAGTGCTATTTACTGTATATTCTTACCCAGGAGCTGCCACAGAATGGAAAAACACCCCCAAAGAAGTAACACAATATTACTTATATAGGTTAGGCTCCAGGAAAATTCAGTAATGCTCTGTTATAGTTGTACAGAATATTAAACCACTGAGGCAAAAACAAATCAGTTTTCTCAAACTGATAAAAACAAACTTCATTTCTTCACCACTAACTAGCTGTTTTTGGATGGATTTTGAGTGTTTTACATAGGTTTTACTTACTTTTTTGGTTAGAAAACCTGAAGTAGAGCACTCTTCTTGACTTTTAGAATAAAATTCATTTCTTTTAAGTATGAATGATGCTGAGAGAAATTGAAAAAATACTAACTGAAGATAACACTTTTCTCCTACTTCTTACCTCCACCTACCTCTCCTTCTTGGAGACTTAGTTTCTGAGTGTGTATATGCCTATATAGTTATTCTAGGAATATGTGAGCAGATGTGTTTATAATTATTTTCATCTGTTTTATACAAATAGCAGTGCATTATCCATACAATGATTATACTTAATTTTTCCCTTAATAACAATTTTGTTCATCACTCTACAAGTTATATAAGTAGCTTCTGCATTCATTTTTATGGCTGGCTAATAGCCATTGCATGGAAGATTTTATCTACATATATATATAAATATATATTATAAAATATTGTGTATATTTGATTGGTTCTCAATGGGCTTTTAGTTTACTTCCAATTTTTGATCATTATAAACAGTTCTGAAGTAAATACTTTATATATATGTCATTTTATGCATGCCATAAATCCTGGAAGAGGATTTGCTGGATCAGAGAGTTATGTGTACAATTTTAATAGATACAGGTATGGCTGAGATCTCTAATGGAATGTATGAGAGTTCGTGGGCTTGCTTGTACTTTATAGACTCTTGGGAATGATTGGGTATAAGCCTCAAGGAGGCTCAACTATTTTTGTATTTCATTTCCTCTATTCCTCCTGTAGGAAGAGTAGTATAATTTTTCTTTCTTGGAAGGGTTTATACAGGTGCTGGTGAACCTATGGCACACACATTGTTTTTCTCTTAGGACAAAAGATGTTAATATATAAGTTATTTTTTCTAAACTAAAGCCACAGTACTTGGGTTTAATTGGTGGTGCTTGGGTAGTGTTGGTGCTTTGCAATAAATAAATGGGTTTTGGGTTGCAGTTTGGTTTGCTCTCACTGGTTTATACAATTCTCTTTCAAAGACTTGTAATTGCTGTTTTGGAGAAGAAGACAAATGTTTTATAGTTTCACTAATATGGGAAGAAGAGTTTTTCTTAAAAAAATTATTTGTTATTTTTATTAGTATATGTGTGAAGTACATAATGATTACATTCACCGTGGAGAGCCATATATATATATATGTATATGTGTATATATATATATGCAATACATATATATACACAATAGCTAAGACATATATACTAATATATATATATACACATATATATATACACACACAATAGCTAAGACATATATACTAGTTTCTATTAGTTCATTGAAAGGAACAGTTAGTATTTATATTGTTTGATCAATCTTACATACCTATATCTGGTAATCTGAGCAACTACTCAGATAGGTCTATCCTGCACCTGCTGTGTGACTGTTACTTGTGACTTCCTCCCATTTAGTTGCTGTGGTAAGGTGACCCCTGGAACCCTAAAGTGTAGTTGTTCTGCAGCTCAGTCTTGACCCCTTCCCAAAATTGCTTCGATTAAACATTCTCAACTATGGAGGGCACTGCCCTGGATTTTTCTCCAGCACTGACTGTCATGAAGAAAGAATTACTTTCGGAGTAAAACAACTCCATGCTATTTTTGCAGTTCACGATAGCTGTGGACCTTTCTTGGGGCTAGTCCTGCCGGCCTGGTCCTTTGTTTCTCCCCAGAGCTGTTGACCGCTCCAGGGCTTGCCTTGTGGTGCTGGGGTTAGTGTTTCAGACCACTCCTTTCTTTTTTCTGTGTTGTGCTCAGTTTTGCCATTTTCTCTGTACTTCCTGATTTTCTGGTAGCTCTTTCTTGATTCCTGGAAATGTACTTTTTTTCTTCAGAAAGTTGTTATTCTCCAGGTGTCTCAGTTCCACATCCTGGAAAGGCTGAATTTTGCTGCCAGCTTTTACCCTGACATTTTAATCTTCCAGGAGGATTAATTCTGTCTCATGACCTTATTGTTTAGCCCACTGGTTTTAGGTTTCTCATCTGTAAAATATCAGTAAGTTTTTTCTCTGCATAATCTCATTCAAATCATCAAACAGTGGGTAACTTCTTACTGGCCCGCTATTCCTCCCTTGTTTAACTTTCTAACCTTAACTTGACATTAGTTTTTGCATGTGTCTAGACTTTATGGATTAATTATTCTATCTCTACACTTTCTGAATTACGACTAGCATGTGCAAAATTATGTGTGTGGCTCGCATTATGGACAATGCTGCTCATGGGGAAGAAGTGATATTTTGTGGCTTCTCCAGGGAACTTCCCTTAATTTCACTTTAGTTGGCTGCTTCCAGGTTCTGAAGTATTTTTCAAGGTCATCTGCTGTGCATTTGGTGCCCTCAGGCTGACATTATTTTCAGTATCTTCCACAGCAAGAATAATATAACCCACCAGAGGGCTCCAGAGCTCTGCTAACACTTTTTCCCCAGTGCCGCTGAAAGTTTACAGAATCTAAATCTGCTCCGAGGGAATAGATTTTTAAAACATCCATTTTTCTATTATAATGGGGTAGCATTGTAGCACTGTGATAGGCCCCTTTCTTTTCTTTTCTTTCTTTTTCTTTGGTTCTTTTTTTTTCAGTAGCAGGAATCGAACTCCCAACCTAGCACTTGCCAGGCGGGTGCTGTGCCGCTGAGCTAAATTTCCAGCCCCAGGCCCCTTTCTTAAGTGACCACCGTGCACAGAATCTTAGGCTTACACAAAAAAGTTTCAGTCTTCACTTTTAAGAGAAAATAAGATCAAATCATCAAAACAATAACAAAGCAAGGTCCCTTAACTGAATGTTTATTAAAGCAACACACTTGAAAACATTAAGTATTAAGCTTAAGTATAATGCAGTCCATCTCTAAGCAAGGTAGGTTGTCAGACTGCTGTTTAAAATAGTATCTGTAAAATAGCAAAAATAAACTGAGGGACAACTTCAATTTTTTCCCTCCTGACACATATTGTACCTACTATGATGGGTTCAGGGGATTATACAGCTGAATAAAAAGATGTCCTCAAATATCTTTGCTGTCATTTGCCCCAGGTCATTACAATCAAACTTTTGCAATGTATAATCAAGGTTATGAAATCTGGCCATAACTATTTATAGCAATAATGAGGATTTTGACTAATAATTTGCTTAAATAATAATTGGTAGTATTTGTCATGTTCAAGCACATTTATTTCTGTTTTTTCCTAGTTACGAAGAACACAGTGGGGGTAGGTAGTTTAATGTTCATATGACAAGTGTTACTATTAGTTAAAATCTTTCATGCATGTGGATCTTTTGATTTGTGTGCTGGATCTTGTTTGAGGTCATGCAACTTGCAGCAAATTCCAGTTTTGTCTGAAAGGTTTCTCAATCTAAATTGCTGTCCCAGTCACAGTAGCACATGTCATCTTTGGAGAATAAGTCAATGGCAGTGAGTCAGTGCAAAGGTGTGGATGTTTGGCTCACGCTCCTCCTATGGCAAAGGTTTCCTAGTGGCCCCAGTACCCTCTGCTTCAATGCTGACCTTTCTCATGCCTGCCGTATGGGTATCACCCTTCCTCTGAAGAATGACAGGTTCTCTAACATCCATGGAATAAAAATACATTTAAATATTTTAGAGGATGTATTTGTATAAAATCTTTAAGGCTTTAAGCATATAAATAGATGCTTAGTACAGGGTTACTGAGGATAAGGTGTAGATAAAATTAGAACAGTCTACCACATTTAGTGTCGTCTTGTTGTATATAAAAATTTTTACCAAGAAACTTCCTGTTGATTTTATTTTAAAGTAAAAGATGGGTGCTTTTACTTTTTCAGTCTAGAGACAAATGAGATACAATATGTCCAGCTATCTTTTGTGAATATACATGCTGAAAAGGAGAAGCAAATGTTGCTTTTATTTGCTTATCTTTCTGAACTGCTTTATATATAAAATGGTGGAATATAGTTAAAATTTTAATCTAATTTTCTTTTTTAAATGTTTCTCAACCTTTTCTCCCTCTAGAAACTGATGTGCCTAGTACCTGTCCTACTCAGTGGTGGTCCTATGCAGGCCACTGTTACAAGATTCACAAAGAAGCAAAGAAAATCCAGAGAGATGCCCTGACTGCATGTCGGAAGGAGGGCGGGGACCTCGCCAGCATTCACACCATTGAGGAATTTGACTTTATCATCTCCCAGCTGGGATACGGTAAAAAACTCGAAACCGGAAATACTCTTGAATCTAGTCCCTTCTTCTCCCCAACTATCTCTGGAAAATTTAATCACAAATGTTAAGTCTCACACATTTTAATGAAAAATTAAATGAGCAGTCTAAATGTAACAACAAATGCAGTTCATGGCTGCAGGGTGAAGATTATGTAATAACTTAAAAATCCTCATCACAAAAAGATAATTCAACTTAGTTTTCTGTTAATATGTAATCAATTCATGGGTAGGTGTAAAATATTTTTCCGCATATTATCTAGATTCAGAGATATCTCCTCCAAACTTACCAAAATGTTTGTTTTTTTAAATTACTTGCATGTATGTGTGCATCTTTAAAAAATTAAGGTCCACATTTTATCTCCTAAGAAACATTTCTAAATCAACTGTCTCCCATTTTGGACTTTCTTTTCTCTAATAATCCAGCTCCTGCTGCTAGGGTGTTGAATTGGGAAAGAAATGGAAATTCTGTTTGTAATGGTTAGGTGTTGGCCTTTTGAAGTAATATAATAGAAAAGTAACACTGTAGGTATATAATTTTAAAAATACTTGGCTCAATCTTCTACATGCGGATATCGAATTTTGCATTTATTAAAGAGCCTATCTTTCCTTCAGGGTGTGGTTTTGGCCCCTTTGAGCAAAACAGTTAAACTTGTGATGCTACAGTAATGCATGCATACCTATGTGTGTAGAAGCACAATTTATAACAGGTAAATCTTGGAAATATGGCTTATATGCCTATCAACAGGTGAATGAATACACAAAATATGATATTTAAACACAGTGGAGCACTATTCTGTCACAAAGAAGAATAAACTTGAGGCATTTGTAGGAAAACGGTTGCACCTTGAGACCATAATATTAAGTGAAATAAGTCCGACACAAAGCTTCAATATCACATGGTTTCTTTTATAGGAGAAACCCAAAATACAGAGAACAAAATAAAAGAGACATAATAGGAAGTAGAGAAATCATTCTGAAGTGGAAAGGGGACCACGATGGAGGGAGGGGGAAGGAAGAAGATGAAAGGGGGATGGAAAAAAAAATGAAGGAAAAAAATGGAGGTAGAACCTTTGTAAATGAGAAGGGGACAGCGCTGGAAGAAGCAGGGAGGGGTAGGGAACAACCACAGCGAAAAGAATTTTGTCATATGTCCATGTACCAACTCCGCATGATACATGTAGTCATTATGTACTGAGAACATTTACTTTAAAAAAGAAATACTTGGAAAGCCTACTATCCAGAAAGAAAAGAGCAGATGGGTGACATGAATTGGGAATGCGCGTCCTGAGGAAGAGCAGGCTGGCGGGCACCGCAGCGATCACGGGCTGTCTGTGTTACTTGCTGATGGAATGATTACGGTTCCCATCTTCCCTGGTGCGGCTGCTGAATCGCTGCAGCTGTCCTGCATTTCCACCCGCAAAACAAGAGGAAATGGATGGCGGTCCTGGAGGAGCCAGCTTCCTGACAGAGGGCCTGAAAATTGATGGGGGCGGGGCGGGGGAGCATTAACACCGATGAGAAGAAAGCAGAGTAGTAGCAGAAAAATTTCACTTTGAAAGTCACCCCAAACACGGCTCCTCTTTGCACCTGTGTCCAAGGGACGCCGCCCTCCGCTGCGCACCCCAGTGAGTACAGCGTGGAGAAAACAGCCTGCTGCAGCCTATCACTTGCATTATTCTGGGTGTACCTAGCCTGGGAAATGCAGACTAAACAATAATGTGATCATAGTGGATGTATCTGAATAACAGTTACTTAGGGTAATCACGACACTTGCTATAGCTAGTCAAGCTTGTAAAGGAGTCCGTGGGAAAACATGTGAGTTGAGACGTAAAATACTAGAGTACAGACCTCACTCGCTTTCTATAATGTGACACAGCGCTAAGAGAACCATATATTTTATTGCTATAATTACCTTGGGGAGTTGGATGCTGAAGAGTAGTCTGAAATTCAGCCTGAAAATCTGTAAGTGAATCAGAAAACCTTCCATTGTAAAAAAGGATTTATGAAAACCAGTAATATATTTACAGTGTAATATTTATTATATTACAGTATTATAAGTACTTAATCTTGACAGAGGTAAAGAAGAGTTGTAAAATTAAGATTATTGCTTCTAGATCAAAAGCCTCTTTTAGCTGGTTTTATATTAATCACAGAAATATATTGCAAGTACTTGTATGTAAAGAGACTGTACGCAAAGCTATGTGTTTACCGACTAACACAACTTCCTGAACGCATTTGTGAAAATCAGTGTAAGAACTCGACACTCACTCATTAGGTAGTTTTTGTAGGATCAAGATTGTGCTTAGGAATTACAAACTCTGTAAGGGGAGAACAGTTTAGTGGAACAATATGTAGAATAGACTTTTAATGTTTTATTATTTTACACTGTTTTTCCATCCAAACCCTTGAGGGGCACATGAGGGCTCTCTGAAGCCTATATTTGCTGCTCAGAAGATCCCGATCTGCTAAGTCAAGTGAAAGGGAAGGGACTCCTCCTGGCAGTGTCACTCACGTTTCATGACACTGGAAACATCTGCTGGAACTGGCAGGAGGCCAGCCCAGGACTTCTCCAAAAGCAAAGTTGAGTGACAACTTTCAGGAGGAAGAAATTAAATGACTTAGAAAAACTCTGTGTAAGTGTGGTTTCTCTGCACTTCCTAACAAATATTATTTTCATGACCCTTAGAGGGAATCTCATTTTACCACTGAAAGATCATACATCAAACCTTCATGGTAGATTTCCTAGTCATGTGAATTAAGTAGATATTGAATTATATTTTCTTTAATTGTTAAATTTGGAAATGTTATTTTTCCAGTCCTGAGATCTGAGATTTTTCATCACTGTACTTTGTCTCATTTTTGTTGTGACATTTAGAATTTGTCAGAATTATTACTGCTTGTAAATAATAATGTTCTTCATAGAATTTTAAAACAAAATGATCACATTTTAGATTTTAATCTTGCTATTTGCACTTTGCTGGCATTTTACAATTTTTTGGTGAAAGTTACAGATTAATTTGTATCTGTTGACTAATAAATAAATGTCAAGTGTCAGAAGCTGATCTATCACCCTCCGTTTATTGTTCTTTCACTGTTTAGATCATTTTCAGCCCTAAGAGAGCAATCAAACTTTAAAGGAAACATTTGGAATATACTTGATAGCAACAGCCAGTAAAATTGAAGTGATTTTAAATTTGTTGATTTAAAGCACTCATAAGATCTAATAGTTGTCAAATCGGTTTCTATGTACAGGATATTGTACTTCCAACAATATGGGTGTGATTGGCATGATACACTTATTTGTAATAACCATAAAAATAAACCAGCCTCACAAGATAGCTGGTGATAGTACACTTGCCTCAATTTCATTTTTCCAAATCTCAGGAGATAATTTGTAATAGTGCAGTTAAAAAAACAAAGTCATGTTTATAATGCAAAAGAAAGCATTGCACAACGTAAAATTGGCAACACACAATGTAGAGGCCGTGAGCCTCCCGCACGTAGGTCAGCGGCACACCCACGGGGGAGAGGGTTAGCTCTGTGACAGTTACGGTGTCAAGGGAATGGAGCTATGTTCACAAAGAAGGGAGCCTTGCTCTCTGGATGCCCTGCTGACCTTGGAAAGCAGCCTTCGCATGTACCACGTCTGTGTTTCTTCTCCTGTTCAGAGCCCAGTGATGAGTTATGGATTGGTTTAAATGACATCAAGATTCAAATGTTCTTTGAGTGGAGCGATGGGACCCCCGTAACGTTCACCAAGTGGCTGCGTGGAGAACCCAGCCACGAGAACAACCGGCAGGAGGACTGTGTGGTGATGAAGGGCAAGGTGAGCTTCTACCCTGATGTCTGGTCCTAGGCACCCGGGAGGTCACCTTCTGTCCACCGTAGGGTGTCTGTTAGTCGAGATTGGTTTGACTTGAGGTAAATTGATGTAAAACGAAGAACTGAGTTTGAGTCAGCTCCTTTAAACTCTTTCAGCTGTCTAGCAGAATCAGAATATCCAGGGGACCATTTCAAAGACAGGAGACAGAAACATTTGATTGAAGAAAAGAATTAACCTATAACTATTACTCATATCATTCCTGTTTGGTTTTACCTTCACCTGGCTGCTCTGAAAAGACAGACTTAGGTAGATATGTTCCACACCTTGGAGTCTGTACTTGGAGAACTGTGTTTGATTTTTCAGGTTACTTGGAGGTGTTGCATAAACTGATTGCATCCATGCCCAATATGACTGTAGCGATGGATGCATATCATTGAATTATCTGTTGTTAATAGTGCACGTGCTGGTTAAGAAGCTAGGTTTTGCTTCCTGACTTTTGCTTTCATTTGTAAAGTGGGGCTAAGAATTTTACCCAGCTCATATGTGGGTGAAAGGATTAGATGGCTTAGTGCAAATACTGTACACAGCTCCCAATCCAAACTTACTGTAAAGTAAATATCAGCTATTTTTGTCATTGTTTTAATCATGATTGACTGAAAGCTAAAAAAGAAGAGTAGATGTTAAGGGTAGGTAGAAAAAACCAGAGAGTGTCGTTCTAGTAAGGAACTGAAAATGCACAGAGTTAAGAGGTGGGCAGGGTCATTCGTGTTCAAGACCCAGAACCAAGTATTATGTAAAGGATACTTATTGTGTGATTTTACTTCTATTAGGTAGTTACAGAAGTCAAATTCAGAGACTGAGTAGAATGTGGTGGCCCAGGGGCTGGAAAAACAAAAATAGAATCCAGTTGTTTAATAGGTAAAGAATTTCACTACACGATGAGGGAAAAGTTCTCTATGTAGTAATAGTTCACAACAATTTAATGTACATAGTGCAAGACTGTATATGTACATAGTTAAAATGGTAAATTGTATGCATATTTTACTCAAATTAAAAAAGAAGAATAAAGCAAAAGCAACAAGTATTATTTGGAGAAGGGAGCACCAAATTTGGAATTTACAAATGTTACCCTGATTGGAGGACTGACAGCTAGATTGTAGTCTTCCTCCTTTGAGTCATAATTACTAGAAAATGGCATCAAATTCAAACAAAAGCTAATTCTTTTTCCCTTGGCTTTCTGCAGGATGGGTTCTGGGCAGACAGGGCTTGTGAGCATCCACTTGGTTACATCTGCAAGATGAAATCCCAAACCCAAGCTCCAGGAACAGTGGAAGAGGAAACAGGCTGCCGGAAGGTGAGTACAGAATGTGCACGATGATTTCAGATCAGCAGATATTCATTGATGCAGTTTGCTGAATATGAGAAAGTGCCTTGTTGTTACCAGTGCTAGATTCTGTTTTTTGTTTTTTTTTTTTTTTTTGGTTTTTTTCCGGTACCGGAAATCAAACTCACGACCTAGCGCTTGCCTGGCGAGCTCAGTGCCGCTGAGCTAAATTCCCAGAATCCCCAGTGCTACATTCTTCCACTGTGCAAATGCTTCCTGGTTTACTATTTGGTGTTACTGTTCTCCTTAACTAAGCTTTCTCCGGGAATTCTCTGCAGCTAAGGTGGGAGGTACACATGGTCAGTAGTTCGTTTGGAATGTCATGAGAACGGGAAGAGAGAAAAAGGAGTAGAGGGACACGCTGAATGGAGCTTGGAGAGGTGATGAGACAAAGGCAGATCGTGGGGGAAGGGTGGGGTCCAGGTGTTAGTCGTCTACGATACTGTGGGTCATGAAGACTATTCCCAGTACATAAACCAAGTGCTGATAGCAAAGTATCCCTGGATAATTTTCCCATTTGTAGTGTTTTTAATGAGCTTTCCTCTAGAGGAGAATCTCCTCAGTAAATCAGTGCAAGAGGAAGCAGTAGACTGGACTCCACCTGGTGCAGTCTTATGAGTCTGTCGTGCTGTAGCCTTCCCAGTGACGGTTGGTAACACCTTCTTGTGTGTCTTGCAGTTCTTGGAGGATTAAGCAAATTGTCTGTGAAATAATTTTGAAAAGAGTAAAGAAACTACAAAAATAATCTTGCAGGTTTATGGTTATTATTTTCCTGTTTGATTGCTGAGTTGCTCATCTTCCTCTTTTGTCCTTTCTCACTTCTCTTGAATAAAAGTGAAGTGGAAACTAATTGTCTTCCCAAGAGTGTTAGGCTGTGGTCACACCACTTTATCACAAACACCATGAGGCTATGAATTTGTGAAAAAGAATTTGGTACGGTCCAAAAAAGCCATAAAGAAAAAGTAGAGCCGAGAAAAGAAAATCAGAAAATGTTGGCAATGTAAAGTTGCTTAGTGATGGTCAAAATTGTTTAGCCAACTTTTGCTTCTGAAAACTTCAGCCTAGAGAAACTACATAATATTCTTAAGAGTTAAAAACAGGTGATACTGGAACCCATGTCCCCTGTACTCGGGCCAGAACATGATGTTTCACTACCAGCACACTTACATATTCTTTGCCTTGTCATATACGTGAATGAGGGATTGTACATTGTTGCTCTTTTCTAAAATAATAAACATATTCCTTTTACATAGTCTAATTTGTCTATTTTTCCATGGTCACATATTACTAACCTCTGATAATAATCCAGTGTAGCCATTAGGATACTAATAAGAACAATAACAGCAACCATTGTCAAATTCAGTTATTATCATGTTCTCATAAACGTACAGAAGAATTGATAATCCTAATTAGAAAGAAGAGGAACTCAGAGCTCAATGAGATTATATAATTTGGCCAATTTAAATGTACCTGCTATAGACACTATCTTTCTCCAAGAACTAGGAAGACAGGAAAAAAATCTACTTAGAAGCAAAGCAAGATAACAGGGCACACATTTTGTCTGAGCATGTGTGGTGTAGCGTATTTTTCAAAATTCAGAATCACAGGCCTGTTATCATTACAGATCTGGGATTCAACTTTCTAGTCCATGCTACCAGACTAGGATACATTAAAACACTGGTGGCAGACCTATAGCACGTGTGCTGCAGCCGACACTTTGATATCATTTCAAGCTCTAAAAGGTTTGCCAGGACTGCTCTACACCAATAAATTAACATAGAGTGATCTGAGTCACTAAAGTTCGAATGTCCCTGGCAGATGCAAATATAAATCCTTGTTATGAAAGAAGGGATTAATGGATGTGACATTGAAAAAATGTGTTGCTAAAATGCTTACAGAAAGAAAAGATGGAATTGAAACTATGGATTAGTCACTGAGTTTTACTTGACATTTTTATTATGCCACAATCCAAAATATTTTTATTTCCACTAGAATTACTTTCACTCATTTTTTTCAGAGAGAGTGAGAGAGAGAAAGCGAAAAAGAGAGAGAAAGAGAGAGAGTTGGTAGTGGTAAGGGTTTTGGTGGTAGAATTTTATCTCTTTTCCAAATGTTTGACGGATGTGATTGATTTTGACAATTGTGATCATATCAAGATTTCCTTGGGGTTATTTGTTGAAATTTTCTTTATGGTCTCATTCATAGTTTCTGTGATTATTCCATGGGTGAATCAGTAGGATTTCCTTTGATCATTGGATCCCAGAGGGCTATCTATATTGATTAGGTAGAATTTATTAGCTACTTTATCTGGATCGTCTACATTTATAATATTTTTGCCTACTTGACAAAATATTTGGGTTGTAATTCTGGCAATTTTTAATTAATATACTTTGGAGACTGTATTGGTTTATCTTCCTGAAGAATGAATCCTTTAATTCTCATGTAATTACTTAATTCCTAACTGCTTTTTTAGCATTAAGGTTGATTTTATTTAATATTAATGTTTGCATATAATTAACATTTACAAATGTTTCATACATATACATATCTATATCTATCTATCATTCTTACTTTAATCTAATTTGAGGAACTAATTGGTGAACAGAAGAGTTTAGGTTTGTTGTGTTTTCTGATGTATTTAGATTCATTTCCATCATCTTATTTGTATTTTATTTTATCCCGCTTTGCTTTCTATTTTTTCTTTTTGTGCATTCTGTTGGATGAGTGATCTTTATTCCCCTTTCCTCCTGTAGAGATTTGGAAATTATACTTTCTACTTCTATTTTTAAATAATTAATCTCGCATTTTCCTGACTGGATAAAATTAAATCTATATCTTCTGCCTGAATAAAATGAACATGATTATTCCATTTACATAGTGTAAACTTTAAGTTTTGCAGTAATGTTAAACTCAAGAGAAGTTGGAAAAATAGTAGAGTTCTATTGTATCATCCGTCCAACTTCCTTGATTGGTAAGAGTTTATCTGACTATCTAAATTGCCAAGTAATTAACATTGGCATGATGCTGTTAATTATTTATATTATTCTTGTTCCATTCTCTAACCCCCCACACCCGTAAATAGTTATCATTGTTGTATACACAGGCAATTAGACCTGCATTTACTAAAAGAAAATGGTTTATCGATTGAAGGTATTTATCAATTTCTTTAGTCAAATTAGACTTCTTAGACCTCTCATTCTTCCTGACTTAAAATTCCTTCTTTCCAGAGTCAGTCCTTTAATTCTCTCGCTGAAAAGCCAGTAGCAGAAAACTGTCTGGAGATGTTTTAAGTTCCTTTTTACCCCAATTAATAGTTTAACTGCATCAGGTTAGCAATCTAGATTGACAGCTCTTTTCTGACAACAAGTTGTATGTTAGTTCATTTTCTCCTGGCCCTTGTATTTGTCATTGGAGTTTTTATTATTATACCAGTTCTTCTCCTTCCTTTAGAGGAATATTCTATCTTTTCTCTATGATTAATTTTAAGATTTCATTGTCTTTAGCATTCTGTGTGCTTACTACAACATATTTAGATGAGGAATTATTTTGTGTTGTTTTTTTGTTTTGTTTTGTTTTTTTGTTTTTTTGTTTTTGTTTTTCTCTGGTACCAGGAACCGAACTCACGACCTTGCGCTTGCCAGGCAGGCGCTTTGCCACTGAGCTAAATCCCCAGCCTGATGAGGAATTATTTTGGCTTTTCCCATTGTTACTCAGTGTAATTCTTCATATCTTTCAGTTCTTGAAAATTCTCGCTTGTTAATTTTGTTCACTTCTCTGAAACTTAGCCCAGTGTTCAACCTCAATGTTCCTTAATCTCTTTTTATTTTTTCATCTCTCTTTGTGCTATAGTCATCCTATTTAATAATTCTTTTTGAAACCCTACTATATGTAATCTGACCACTGGGTTTTAAAAAACATTATCACTATATATGCTTCTAGAACTTCTCTTTATTGGTTCAAATCTTCTGGTTCTTTGTGTGTAGTATTTTGAACTTTTGTTATTGGTTCTATATCTTTTGCCACTAAATTGCCTCAAACACGCTCGTTTTTAGACTCTCTTTTCAGATTGTGCTATTATATGATGTTGTAGACTCCCTTGCACTGGGACATTTTCTTATGTGGTTGGTCATTTTTGATTGTGAGTTAGTGCCCGTGTTCATCTCCACTGCTATCCCCTTGACCTGGTTTGTGGAAATATTTCTCTACCTAAGAGATTCCCCTTTTGTAGAACAAATACTACTCTAATTTTTGGGTCATGGATTTTCATACAGTGTGCAGAGTGTAAAGTCAGAAGTGGCACTTACTTGTGGCACAGATATGGCATTTATTTCCAAGCAGAACTTTTTTTTCTGGTACTGAACCCCAGGATGATGACAAAACTCTATCATCTTTGGGTTCTCTGACTAGAAGTTATAGTTCTCCTTCCAAGGAAGCTTTGCCCTTAGTGGTGTCCTCTTCATACAAGGACCTTGGTTTCAACTCCCTGTCCTGGTTGGGTTAAAGACCGAATATTGCTGCCTTCTTCTCCTTCTCCTCCTCCTTCTCCTTCTTCGTCTTCTTCTTTCTCTTCCTCTCCTTCTCCTCCTTCTTGTTCTTCCCTTCCTCTTCCTACTCCCACTCCTCTCCCTCCTCCTGCCCTCTTCCCTTTCCTCCCTCTCCCGCCTCCTTCCCCCTTTCCCCCCTCTTCTTATTTATTTATTTAAAATTTTGTGGGTGTTTTGAGACAGGGTCTTGCCATGTAGTCAAGGCTGGCTTTGAGCTTACTTATGTAGCGCAGGGTGTCCTTGAACTTGTGGTGAGCCTCCTGCCTCAGCCTCCTGAGTTCTGGTATTATAGGCATGTGCCACCACACCTGGCTCAAATATTATATTCTATATGGACAAATATACTTCGACCCTATTGGGCCTTAATCTAGATTTGATACACTCAAGACACAGGCAAGAACAGCTTGTGCATTTTTCATTCAGCTTTTAGTGTTCTACTTATTTTTGATCCCCGGAGAGTTCCCCTTGTTCCTCTCAAATTCTAGCATGGATTTCTTTATTTTATTGTCAGGTTTTCATCCAGTCTTTCTGAGTATTTGAAGTACAGTATAGGAGTGGAACCATGTCAAACCATGCTGCCTGAGATGTGATGGGTGTTCTCCTATGGCCAGATAATATAGCTTTATGTTTTCTACGCTTTTCTTGGCTTAAATAGGTAGTCAGGCTTGCTACGCCCCAGATTATTTTCTGGGGATCTCTATTCTTAATTGAAATCTTTGCTGTTCCTTCCTTCCCTTCAGTAACTCAACACTTCACAAATCGCCCTCCTTGGAACATGCATCTGAGCTGAAGAGAATGACTTCCTTTGCCTTCAGCTTGGTTTTATAATTTGTCATGCGAGGAACCATATACTGCTGTTTTCTTTGTTCATCTATAAAACGTTCATTTCAAACCCTTCAGATTTTGGTCCTTTAGATTTTTCTGTTGTTTAATCAGTTTGTGTCATGATCATTAAATAATATTTTCTAATAAATATGCATGATAACTTGCTTATTTCTCTATTGCTTGATGACATTAACAGGGCTGGAAAAGACATGGCTTTTACTGCTATTTGATTGGAAACACACTGTCCACATTTTCAGAAGCAAACCAAACATGCATAAATGAAAAGGCTTATTTAACAACTGTTGAAGACAGGTATGTAACTATTTCAATTTCATTTTCAACTGTCTGAAATAGTGAAAAGTTTTCAGAAAACTCTAAGCATCAGAATCCTCACAATTTCAGAGCAAATTAGCTGTGGTCTGAGATATGGTTTACAAAAGGCAGAAAAATCAAAACTAGTATTCTTATTTAAATGTTTCACTGCAACCATTATAAAATATTTTGCTACTTTTAGTACTACACAGTGATATTCAGAACAGTTCACTAATAATCCACTGAATGTAGTTTATAGATTAATTTTTTCCAGTATATACATCAACATTGTATAGCAGATAAATTCTACAGCTCAAAATCCCACGGTCTGTCTTCCACCATGAAGAGGCCAAGAAGAACGAACCTGGGGTTTCAGAAGGAAAGACTGACTCAAACCCAGTGTCTCCCAACACCCACCCACAGCACCGCTCACCTGTGACCTTCCAAGGTGTGGGGCTTTCTCACCACCAGCCAGCAAACAGTTCTGTTGTGGACACCAGCTGGGCATCCCCTGATCCAGTTCACTTCTGGCACTGTCTTTCTGGAGAGGGAGTTAGCTTGAGGGCTTGGTCCTCAGGTCTGTCCTCACTCATCCCTTTGGATACCAGCCTCGAGCCCCGGGTTCTTCTGCTTCTGACAGGCTCTAGAGAGGAGTTCCCAGGCCCTCTTTTTGGGTTCAGCTAACTTGCTTGAGGAGCACAGAGAAGTGAGGGAAACATTGCATTTGCTGGTTTCTTGTAAAGGATACGGATGAGATGCACAGAGTGAGGTGTGGGAGAAGGGGTGTGGGCCCCATGCCTTCTCTGGTTGGACAGACCCACAGGTACCTCATGTGTTCAGCTGTCTGGGAACTCTCTGAACCTATCCTTTTGGTTTATTGTGGATAAAACATTGCTTGGGCAAGATCTCTAACAGCTTGGGTGGGGAAACCTTGCAAGGCCTGTCAGTTGAGATTCTTCTTGGCCTTTCTGTGCTGTCCTCTTTCCTCTGAAGCATGGGGAAGGACCCTTCTGCCCTGAGGAGGTGGGGTCTTAGGACCTACTTACTATCAGACAAGGTAGGTCAGAGTTATACCTGGAGATATATAACTATAGCTATAGCTATAGATATAGATAGATATATATCACACTAAATCATTTATTCATTCTTTCCATCCTTCCACTTATGTTTTTGCTTTGCTTGATTAATATACTGATAGGTTTATAAAATCAAATGGACATAGAAAATTTTAGGTGATTTTGACTTCAAAGGTCCCATCCATGTTTGGAATTATTTATTCATTCTTCACCTACTCTTTGCAAAGCCTTGGATAAGACAGGGAAGAAACTTAGAAGAAGCTTGAAAAAGTCCATTAGAAGAAGGAAACGGTTGTTGAGTGTCAGTATAATAAATTATATTCATTGGCATTTCAAGGCAGGCCCAATAAAAATCTAGAAGACTGACTTTAAAAATCCTTTGACAAAAATGAGCATCATATAACATTTGTCTTGTGCAGTCTTTATGAAAGAACTGTTCTAACCTTACATTATTTTCATAGCATGTACATAATACAAGGCCCGCATCTAAATATCATAATGTAGATACTTTTTAGTTTATAACAAGGGAGGTAAACTGCTGATGGGGAAATTTTCTGGCCTATGCTATAATTGGTCTATTGGAGAACAATGTATAAGATTTCACTATATTTTATATTTATTTTTCTTTATGTGTTTTCTATGATATTTGTATTGCGGAGCTCACTAATTCTGTTGTCAGATTTAATTTTCAGACTTTTGAGAAAAGTAATTGTATTTGGATCTATTGGCTGTTTGTTCACTCTGTTTAGGGTATCAAATCATTTAGACTATGGTCAAATAAATGCTCTGGTATTGCTAGGTCTCTTCACCTTCCTTTTCCGCCCCGGTTATCTTGCTAGTTGAACTGTACTGTTACCACTTTACATCAGTTTATATAAGTTAAACAGATGAGAATCCAAAGAGAGAATAGGTGTTAGAATTCCTTCTTCTGCTCCCAGCTCTCTCTAGAAATTGGATCTGCTTTTGTACAGTTTTTGGTTTCATGGCAGAGATATGAAATTTAGGGGAGGAAATCGATTAGATTATTCCATTTGTAATATCCTTGATAGTGTTATTGTCTCCCTTGCTGAATTAAGAATCCAGTAGAACATTTAGTTTATTTGAAAAGTGGACTGAGTTTTTAAACAATTTCTTTAAATTGCTGTTTTCAAAATTATGCTGTGCTTTCAAAAATTCTTTTTGATTTTGAGGCAGAGCACAGAGGGTGAAGGAGCTAAAAAGAAATAATCTGAGTATTTTAAATCATTTTATTTGCCCAGGTATATGACATTTTCCCCTTGTAAACTCATTTCTTTAGTGAAAATTATTAAAATTGAAATGACATATGAATATAATGCATTGGATCACCAACTAAATCATAGCACATAGAACTGAGATAGTTTTCAGGTTGATCATGGAAAATTTACATATAAATGTTTCTAAAGACTAGTTGAATGTTAATTTTTATTTTAAAGATATGAACAAGCATTCCTGACTAGTTTGGTTGGATTGAGGCCTGAAAAATATTTTTGGACAGGACTTTCAGATATACAAGTCAAAGGCACCTTTCAATGGACAGTGCAAGAGGAGGTCCAGTTCACACACTGGAATGCAGATATGCCAGGTACGTGCAGGGCTGGGCCCAAGGGCTGTGTTCACCCTGCCCACCCATTCAGCAAGGGCAATTACCCACCGATGTACCTTTCCAAAGCATTGTGCAACCAATTAAGCTATGCAAGTTCGTTGCGCTTTCAGAAACTTTTTATATTTCTATTTTTTTCCTTTCCGTTATTTTTGAATCAAATCCCAATGAGTTTGCAGTGTTCTAAGGGAAAAAAAGGAAGAGAAAATTGCTAGTTATTTGCTTCTGGTCTACTTGAAAAACATTTATAAAATCCTAAGTGGTCACATATATTATTCCAAAAGGTCATCTTGTTCCTGAAAACTTAAAACTATGTGAAATGGATAGAAAGCTTTTCAGTGCCACCGTGAGGGGCAGGGTAAAGGCAGTGCTTGTGTGGAATTTGTTATTCTGATTATCTTGAATGTAGCACTGCGTTTAACCCTCTACAAGCCTTGGGTTTTATTCTGTCCTTGTAAGAACCCTGGAAGGCAGGTTTAAATATCTTCATTTAAAAGATGTAGAAATTTGGAATCTAAAAAATTATGTGATTAATTTTTCTGAGCATGGTTTAGACTAAACTAGGTAGTTACCAAACTCGTGCTGTTTGTATTTGCATCAACCATCCAGCTATCAATTTTGACTTGTCTGCCATGATTAGAGGCTATAAGCAATTTCTGAAATAGAGTCTGAAAAATTGTCTTCTTTTTACAATGGCATATACATCACTCAATATGATAACATCCAGAGAATTCAATATTCTTCGTAGGAAATTATTTCATTGTACCTGGGTCAAAAGCTAAAAAAGGAATAATAGCCCACGAGTAGGAATTTACAATTTCGCCTAATATTTCCTCATCTCTAGGAGTTATTTTCATTTGTATTCTCAGCTTTCAGTAAGTGAAATATATCAATAACCTGAACAGTGTGATTCTTGTTTAATTATTAAATTATTAAATGTTATCAAAAATACTAAAATTTTAGATAATTTTTAAAATAACTGAGTACCATATTAAGAACTGAACGCATACCTTAAAAAAATCTGATAATTCTCATTCTCTAGCTTTACTTTGCCTCTGTTGCTGATTCAGCAGTTGGATTCTGAGAGATGAATCCTGGAATGTCCTTAGGGAACAAAAAAAATATATCAAACTGGAGCACAAGGAGGAAGGGAGGAAGGCAGGCAGGAAGGAAGAAGGAAATTCCATTAAATCACTATTTTTACCATTATGACTGATTTGATCATCATACTAAAAATACTGTCTCTTAAATGCGTATGTGTGGGACACTCTGCCAGATGTTAGAAATACAAAATGTTATTCTAAAAAATCCCTAACTTGATATCATAATTCAGTTTGGGGTGTACACCACACAAACAAAAGCCACGCATGGTTTGAAAAGCACACACCACCTGCAGCAGTGCAGTAGCTTCTTGTAGTTTTCTCGTTGTGCGCAGATGTTAGCACACACTGTCTTACTCAGCTTTGAGCTATCTCCTGTGAGCATGGTAGGCCTTCAGCATCTTAGTCACTTTCTCATTGCTGGGACAAAAATCCCTGATACCCCCAACGCAAAGGAGAAGAGGTTATTTTGGCTCATTTTTTGCAGACCATAGTTGGCTGGCTCCAAGGCAGAAGGCGCGTGGTAGAAGGGTCTGGTGGAAGAAAATGCCCACAGCATGGTGGCCAGAAAGCAGCAAGAGAAAGGAGGACGCGAGAGGGAGATATACCCTCCTGTGTCACACCCCCACGGACGGTCCTCCAACCAGGTCCCAGCTCCTGACAGCACAGTCAGCAGCTGAACTCATTAGTAGATGAGCTCACTGATGCGCATAGCACCCCCACGACCCGATTACCTTCCAAAAGCCTCACGTTTGAGGGCACAGGCTTTGGGGCATGTTCTCTATGTGAACCATAACCCTTAGCGAGCACCTGTTGAGTGAATTCTACTTTGTGTGTTTAACGTTTAATGCAGGGCGAAAGGCAGGTTGTGTCGCCATGAAGACTGGGATTGCAGGGGGATTATGGGATGTTCTGAAATGTGATCAAAAGGCAAAATTTGTTTGCAAGCACTGGGCAGAAGGAGTAACTCGCCCACCGGAGCCCACAACAACCCCTGAACCCAAATGCCCAGAGGATTGGGGCACCACCACAAAAACAAGCTCGTGTTTCAAGGTAAGTGTCAATTACTGAGCTAATGAAGAATCTGATTACCTATCATCCCTAAGAATCACCTAAGGAATTAAAAACAAGCAAAACCAGCACACACTGTTCTGTGGACTCCCGCCGGAGAGATTGTATACTGGCCTTCTTGGTCTGGAGAGTGCCTGGACACCAGTTGTTTTCAAGGGTTCCTTGGTGGGATTCTAAGGACCCGTTGCATTTAGAAGAACAAAAATAATGAACAAGAAACTGCAGCTCACAGTCTTCCTCGCCTGGACTGTCATCGTCACCTCCTCCCTCTTTCTCTCCTTTTTCCCAGAGCTTCTATTTCTATTCTGAGCTCCTAAGTCTTTCCATCTTCATGAAGAATTTTGCTCTCCCTTATGCTATCTTATTGCATCTCATTTTTGTGCTGCTTTTGGAACCCAAGATTGTAACTCACATAACTGATTAACAATCTACAAAGCCACATAGGTTTTCTAGAACAAATGCACCATTTTTCTAATTTAACCACCAGTGATCATGATGATGGGAGATAAAGGCATTGACAGGTTAGAGATACATGGCCTCTCAATGCCCCTGAAGTGACAATTCAATATTCTATTATTTTCTGTATTTTTAGGTTGGGCTATGAATTTCTTCTTTATGCAATCAAGTTCACCAAAATAAACAAACAGCCTAACAAAAATAGAAGCAAAAGCAGAAGCAAACAAAAACTCCAATGCATTAAGGATTTGGGTCTTGTTTCTCTGTCTTATACGTCATGTCTTCCCTAAAAAAGATTTAGCTGAATACAGAAATGTATATAGTGATTACTGGTACTGTTCTGCTCTCAGGATCTCTTCTACTCCATCTCTTTGGACAGCATACGGCCATGCCACACCTTTTGAGATAGTTTATCAAGACCAATGAAGAGCCTTCATGAGGGCTGAGGGATGTAGCTCTGTGGTAGAGCACTTGCTGGCCTGTTCAAGGCTCTGACTTCAATCCCCAGCTGTGAGGGTCAGAAAAATAAGAAGGAAAGAAATTGTTTCAGATTGAAGTTGTATAGTCTTTTCTAACTGAAGAAGGTTATATTTAGTTGATGTGGTCCAATTAGAGTTAAAAGCATAATTTATGCAGGAGGGAATATATTGGGCTAAGAAATAAAGGATTTTGTAAGTAGAGTATCAGAAAACTAACACAAAGCAAGTCAGGTATTTTTACCAGTACCTCTGGAAATCTTGCATCACTGAACAAAAACCAGATTCATCTTATATGTACTCCTTCCCCACAGGGTGGTAGGCTAGGGAAGTTTATCACAGTTATTTGAGAGGAGAAGCAGAGATATCTACAGCTTGAAAGTCACCTGGTGATTCCACTGTAGACAGTATTCAGGTGGATGTTCAACAGAACAACATACATGTTTCCTTGGAAGCTACATGGTTTCAGAGGTTGCTTGGGTAGCATTGGTTTGAAAACATGCCGGCTGTGTTTATAAATATCAAGATGTTCAAAATTAACAAAATTCAGCTGGAAATAAATTTACTTAAGGAAACAAAATCTCATATCAAAATCTAGTGCCTTGAAGTACTTATAGGAGTCTTGGGAGCTACTGATATGCAAACTTGCTCAGACACCTTTGATCAGATAGCCCAAGTCAAATTCACATAAGTTCAAAGTCAAAGTTGTCTTGCGTTAGTTATCACCTGGTAGCCATAGTCCATTGGAAACAAATTCCCTTTTTCCACAAGCCTAAGATGGTGGGGGCCGTGATTCACAAGAAAAATGAATAACAATTCTAAAAATTGATGGGGGTGATTAACTCCTATACAGTTTGACACTGATGGGTATGTACCAGAATGTCACTGTAAATTCCACTTACGGTTCTATTTGCAGTCTTCTGGATAATAGGATATAGTCTCTAAATTATGAAGTCCATTAAAGTTAGTTCAGCTTATAACCCGTTTGTACTAGATGACTGTCATTGGGTGTGCTCCAATGCTTCCAGAAATGTGCAACTGTAAGAAAAGATAAGGCAGTCTGTTTTTGAAGAACATTGTGTGTGGAAAGATTGCCAGATCATTCATTGTTTAAGCTAAACAAGATAATGAACTGTGCACAATTTTAGGAGGGCCATGTTCCCCAAAAATATCCCTCATTTGTGTTTGTCCTCTCCTTATCAAAAATTTATTTATTTATTTATTTTGCATTTCAAGGCTACTCTCCACACTTATCCAAATGAATCTTATCTTTTACAATGAGCTAGTGACCTAATCCACATGCCTACAGTTTCTAAGATTTTGATCTCATTTCTCTTTTATTTTGTGAGGTTTTCTCAAAAAAAAAACCATCCTCTTGAGTTTTGCAACCCAAATAGCTGCTAATAAATTGAGTTCAAATCAAGAGAATTGCATTGTTTGAGGCCAGAACAGTGCTCTGCTTTTCTATCAATGAAATCTCACCTAAAGTAAATGATTATTTCTTCTGATTTGATAAGCTATGGTATATAAAATAATTTCTGAAATCATATCATCTTTAGCTGTTTGCAAAAGGAAAACATGAGAAGAAAACGTGGTTTGAATCTCGGGATTTTTGTAGAGCCCTGGGTGGAGAGCTAGCTGCTATCAAGAATAAAGATGAACTGCAAGCAATATGGAGATTGATAACGTAAATATCTTTTCCACGTAGCACTTCTTTCTTTTACCTATTCGGTGTGAATGATATTAAGAAAATACTTATATTCTGAAATTGTTGGTTCAGGATGCTTCTTGGAATACCTGCATCATATTTTAAATCCATGGACCCTTTTTGATCTAGTTTGAGTTTAGTATTCTTTAACATTATACACATAAATCCATCAATATATTATTCAGTAAAGGTAAAAGATACCCATTATATATTTGTAGAGTGAATGGATGAATATCTTCCAGTGCTTTACAATTAATTTATTCTGAAGCAGAGACCCACTGTCAAGAAATTTATGGGTTGTAACAAAATGTACATCTTTTGCATTTTATTTTTAGTTGTTAAATCGATTTACTTCTGTACTATCTAATTTTGTTTTGGAGGCAACTTTCAATTCTGGTTGATTCTTATGGGTGACCAAACTTGATCCATGCAGTAGCATATGTCCTCGTTATGTTTTGCAGGAGCACTAGAAGTTATCATGAGACGTTCTGGTTGGGACTGACATATGGCGGTAGTTCAGAAGGCTTCACTTGGAGTTCTGGCTCTCCGGTGAGTAATTTGATTTAACATATTATTTTCTATATCATGCATTCATTTTTGTTATCTTTTGGTTTAATCAATTTTTTGTAAGACAGGTTATTATGATAGCTTTCTTTAAAAATAAACATGAATTTAGGGTTACTATTTTGCCATTACCTCATTTAGTTTTGCTTACCCAAAGTGTAGCTATGGCTGCCTGGATGAAAAACTATTTATCCTAGTAGTTTATCTAAAATATTTTCATTCTGTACAAAATTGGCACATAGGAGGTTACACTTCTCCAAAACTGAGCATGTTCTAGCCTTTTCTAGATCAGTACAAGTAGGCACAACTCGTGGTAATCCCACTGGTAACTGTCTGGGCTTGTTAAACTTCTCTATTCCCAGAATTGGAGAAATGAGAAGTTATGGCACTGCCAGCAATATTTAGCTGCTGTGGTCATCACAGGAAATGATTTTGTATAATTTCAGTTCTGCCTTCTTCTATAACCCACCAGCAACTTTTCAAGGCATGTGGGAAGATGGTCTATTTGATGGCTCCATTAATATTTGGATTTTATATTTAGATCTCTATAAAATAGACCATGATACTTAGCCCAAAACTCTGTAGCCTCTGATTTTACACTGAAAATTTCCATGATGTCTGCTATTGGCAGCTTTGTTAGCAACATTTTATAGGTCTTTTTCTTCTGTAAGAAGAATTAATTGTATTTCTTTATCTGACTTATGTAGTAAAGCGAAATCTTCCAGAAAAGACACTGAAATATTACTCCTTAAGGATGAGTTGGCAATTTAGCCACGTCCAATACTAAGAAGTGGAACCCTTGCTAAGTTTTCCTATATATAAATTCTACTTTTGTGGTGCTTGAATCCGTTCTATTTAATGAGAGTAAAGAAAATGCTGTAATAACCAGTTGTCTACCTTCTTCAGCTAAAAAGTTTCCATGTAGTAAAAGATGTTTTTTTGCCACCCGTGTTCATAAACTGTTTCAAAGCAAAGCTACAGTGAAAAAAAGGTAAATGGGTGAAAAAAATGCAAACATATCTTTTTTTCTGCTCCAGTAGGAGATTGGCATTCGCCGGACATATACGATAACAATTGTAATTTAGTATTTCTGCTAGAATATTGATTCTTGGCTTTTGGCTAAAATTAAGCATAATGTTTCTACCGCAGGTTATTTATGAAAACTGGGCTTATGGGGAACCCAATAATTATAATAACGTTGAATACTGCGGTGAGATGAAAGGTGACCCTAGTATGAACTGGAATGACATTAACTGTGAACATCTGAACAACTGGATTTGTCAGATACAAAAAGGTATAGTCGCCTATCTTCCTCTTCCTCTCAGATTGGAAAACCGTCCTGGCATCCCAGTATTTTACTTTTATTATTGGAAACAAGTAAAATAACAGTCACTTCACAGGATAAGAGGGAAGTCACTAAGCACAGATAAATGTTCCAAAGGAACAGAAGATCAAAAGGCCACCCCAGAATTCTAGACAAGAGTCACATCCACTAGCATTGTTCCCACGAGCAGCTGCCCTCGTGGCTCAGGGTCTGCCGTGGCAGGATTGGATGGGAAGGGCTCGTCCTGCCCTGTAAAGCAGAATCAGGAAAAGGCAATGCAGTGTCTGTTTTGGAATTTTTACTTTCTGGACTTCTATATTAGTTATCAGCTAATTAAACTTTTTGCCAAGCCTGAATATTTTAAGTATGGATTTCTGAAACAAATGTTCAATGCTATGAACAAACACCATCTGGAGATTCCCGGTGCTTTTAGACCCACCTTGTTATGCAAATTCTATGTAGCCAGGTCAAGCATCAGGGTCAGAGAATTCAGGACCTTGGGTTATGAAAAACAAGCAAATAAACAAACCTATCCTTGGACAAGACATACAGATAACTTTCTCCGCTGTAAATAGATAAAGGGAACTGCATTGCCCTCTGGTGCTGGGGAACTGTATCCACCGTCACTCTACTGAGAGGCACTGTCCGGCCCTCCTGCAGACTGTCCGCATATTTTCCTTCCTCCTTTCCTTATTCCTTCTCCAATGAGCCCAAGTTTTTAAAAAGCTCCCTTAACCACCAATGACTAATAGTAAACTTTTTGTATTATTTGTAGTTTTTCTGTATTCTTGCAGATGTTTAATACATTAAGCCCAAAGCTAGGTAACCTGAGCATTTTTAATCAGAGTCCAACAAAATCTAGATATATTATTAACCACTTGGAAAGGAAATTATTTTATTTAAATTTTATTGAAACATGCATTTAATAAGATTCTTTGAAGAAAATATACTTGTGTTATATGAACAAGGGGTACACATGGAGTAGTTTCAAATAAGGAAATTGTAAGTAAATTCACAGCTAATTATAAAATGTCTGACTGGAAAACTAGTGTCCTTTTTACATTTTTCCTTTTATTAGTGCTTGTATGTAGAACATAATGATTACATTCATCATGGGGACTGGGAGCAGGTACATAACACATCTTAATTCTTTTTATGTTCTCATCCCTGCTCCCTCCCTCCTCCATCAGGATCTTGGTTCCCTTCCCATTTACAAAAGATCTATCTCCCTGCTTCCTGTTTTTCATCTTTTATTTTGGTCTTTAATTTATTTATACTTTGTGTTTCTTAGATGAGAGAAACCATGGCATATTTAAGTTTATGTGCCTGATTTATTTCATTCAATATTATGGTCTCAAGGTGCACCCATTTTCCTACAGATGACTCAAATTTATATTTCTTGTGTATAAATACCACTTTTTTATCCAGTAATCTGTTGGTGGACACATAGTATGCTTACAACATTTAGTAATTACGAGCTGTGCTGCTATAAATATAGGTGTGCATGAACCACTGTAAGATGATGTCATTAACTCTTTTAGGAATATACCTTTCAAGGGGACTAGGTGGGTCGAAAGAAATTTTTACTTTTAGTATTCTGAGGAATCTCCATACTGATTTCCATAGTATGTGTACTAGTTTACATTACCCCCCAAAATGTAGAAGGGCTCCCTTTGCCCTACAGCCTTATCAGCATTTATTATTCTTTGGTTTCTGGATGATTACCATTTTTTCAGGAGTAAGATTAAATCTATGTTGTTTTAATTTGTGTTCCTGTAATGGCCAGAGAGTTTGAATTTTCTAATACATTGGTCATTTGTCCTTCTTATTCCAAGAAGCATTTATTCATTTTAGTTGCTCATTTTTTGATTGGGTCTTTTATTTGAGGGTGTCTAATTCCTTTGAGCTCTTTATATATTCTAGATATTAGTCCTCTGTCAAGGAGTAGGTGGCAAAATGTTTTTCCATTCTGTAGGTTGTCTCTTCACTCTTTCGGTTGTTTCCTTCACTGTGCTGAAGATTTTAATTTGATATGATCCCATTTGTTGATTCTTGATGTTATTAAGCACTATTATTTTATTTTGTTTTTGCAGTTGAGGTTCATTCAGAAAGTCTTTGCCCATTCCTAGATTTTCAAGAGTTTTTCTTGGTTTATCTTCCAGCAGATTATTTGTTTTAATATTTAGATTTTTGATCCATTTTTATTTTATTTTAGTACATGTTGAATAATATAGGTTTAGATTTAATCTTCTACATATGGGTAGCCACTTTTCCCAGAACCATATATTAAAGAGGCTATCTTTCCTCCAGCTTATGTTTTTGGTCCCTTTGTCACAGACCAAGCAGCTAAATGTGCTTTGGGTCATTTCTGCATCCTCTAGTCTGTGGAAAACTCATCTCTATTGAGCACCTGCTACATACCAACTACAACCCATATAATGTATTTTACCGTATTTACACATTTTACTCATCCCTTTTTGTAGCTGAGAAAATGAAGGCTAAACAACTTATATCCAGGCTTTGAATTTGGAGATCAGCTTCCTGCTTCTAAAGCTCATGTCCTCTCTCCTTTATATGATACTACTTGTGTCTACAAACTGCCTTCCAAATTCTGCTGGCTATTATTGTACATAATTTGTTTAAATATTAATTTCTAATTCCTTTTCCGTTACTCCTCCCCCCACAGCATAAGTGAGTAGGAGTCTGTGTGTGTGTTGGCTGGTGGATGGTAAAAATTTTTAGCAGTTTTGACCCATGAAAATGTAAGGATTGGAGCACATTTATATTTAATTTTCTCTCGTTTTACAGGAAAAACACCAAATCCAGAGCCAACACCAGCTCCGCAAGAAAGTAGGTGTTTCTGTATTTTCTGATCGCTGTATGAATTGTCTTTTTCTCCGCTCTCCTATCTGTTTTTTTTGGATTTTCCTCCGGTACCAGGGATCGAACTCACGACCTTGTGCTTGCCAGGCAGGCGCTGTGCCCCTGCGCTAAATCCCCAGCGCCCTCCCCTTTCCTATCTTAATGGAAAACTAATTCTTAGGAAGGTGGAGAGAAGTTCCTAATACTTTGAGAATCTTGTGAAAGGTTGGATTGTCCTCTCCAGAGAGAAGCCCCCCCACAGAAACAGAAGACCTATTAGTACAACGTCCCATGGATCTATGAATGCAATGCACGGGCTAGGCTCCTCTTCCTAACAAATGGCCAGTGGCTGCAGTAACCAATCTCCCAACAGGGAGACCTAAAAAGTACACATTTATTCCCCGGCAGTTCTCGAAGTCAGAATCTGAACTCAGTTTCACTAGGCCAAAATCCAAATATCAGTGTAATGATGCTCCCTTGAAAGACTCTGAGGAGAATCTGTTACCTTGTTTTCACCAGCTTCTGGAGCCGCTAAATCTGCAAAGGTAGTTCACGGTCCCTTCCGCCATCTTTAAAACCAGGAATGCAGCATCTTGCTTCAGTTGTCATATTGCTTCTGACACAGTCAAATCTCCCTCTGTCCTTCCACAAACACACTGGAGGAGCATTCAGGGCTCATCCAGATAATCCAGGACAATCTCTCCTTCTCAAGATCCTTAATTTAATTGCATCTACAGAGTTGCCTTCACGATGAGATAACATTCACAGATGGCAGGGATTAGATTCAGAATGTCCTTGAGGGTCCTTAGGCTTCCACAGCCTAGAACCCTAGAATTCCATGATTTGGAAGAAGCCTTCGTGTGTGAGTTCCTTGGTTCTCCAGTTCTCTAAAGTTCCCAGTTCATCTGTAAGACAAGTGAACCCAGTTTCCCACAGCTCTCATCTGTAGGACCTCGGACATCATGGGTGCACATATGTAAATCTTTCCAGCTGTGCTATTTGATTGACTAAAGTAATACTGGGAATTCTTTGACCCAATATGAACACATGGAGCTTGATTGGGAAGAGAAGCTGGCTGGTTTTAACAGGGTTGTGGAAAGTAGGTATTTGGCCTGAAGCAAGTTAGACTGTATTCGGCATCGACATTTTCCTCATTCTGAGCTCTTTGACATAGTTACCCTGTCCATGTCTGATTTTTGTTTTAATGTAAGTAACACTCATCACTTTTTCCCATTATGTTTTCAGATCCTCCAGTCACTGAAGATGGGTGGGTTGTTTACAAAGAGTCCCAGTATTATTTTAGCAAAGAGAAGGAAAGCATGGAAAATGCACGAGCTTTTTGCAAGAAGAATTTTGGTGATCTGGTTACTGTTCAAAGTGAAAGCGAAAAGAAGTTTCTATGGAAATATGTAAGAATGTGGTTAAGAATGGGATGGTGACATGTTATAAACATAGTCAGTGCCTGCAGTTGGCAGTCTAATATAATTAGACTAACATAACTTCTAGCTATGTGCTAAAGCTGAGTCTCCCAAACTCAGAGATATGGATGTGAATGCCTGAAGAACGGTAAAAGATACCTTACGGTTTGGATATTCAGGGCAGAATAATCTGGGCTTTGGAAGGATCCATAGTGATGGCTTTGAGTTAATTTGTTGTTCAAAGATTATAATTCTTAACTAATTATTATATCAATCAGAGACCCTTTGTATATTAAACAGCTTCATTATTAATTAAAATACCTGTTTTGTTGGATCAGATCATTGGCTAATACATAGTATAGCATGATTACTCATATAAAAATCTTCCTTGGTTGTACCAAAATTGTCATCTATTACTGAAGGTCTAATTTATTTTTTCTAAGGGTACTTGAACGAGTATCTTCTTGATTAAAAATCTTTACAGTATTCTTATTGTTTGCCAGAAAAAAAAATTCATTTAATTACAATGGTATGATTGTGTGGTCTAACTTATCTTACTTTGAAATTCTCAGGGTGTGTCCTAAAATACATTTCTGCACTAATTTACATATTTAAAACCTATATTATATATTAAATCCCTATAGGTGAAAAATATTTCTTTTGATGCATAATCCTCACTAGCTACTTGCTTTTTGGAAGGGGGTGCCTTCGATACCTATTGCAAGCATTTGATATTATAGAGAACAATTTAAGGTATTTGCTTCATAAATGTATGTTAAATTATGTACACCTTTTTATTTTTATGAAGAACATAACTTAGCATATACAATATTTCTGCATGCATTCATCCTTAGAAAAGTTTACAAATAGGTAGTCTCACTAATGCACTGATTTTGTTTAAGAACTTGCTTATTATGTGGTTATAAATTAAACTAGATAAAATTTTGTATTCTAGGTAAACAGAAAGGGTGCACCGTCAGTGTCAGCGTATTTTATTGGTTTATCAATCAGCTTGGATAAGACGTTTATGTAAGTAAATCAAACCAAAACACTTTTGCTTAGGACAAACTGATCTGAAAATACTGAGTAACTTTGAAGCTTTTGCTTTGGGGAACACATTTTAGAACTTCTGCAGCATTCTCAGTCTCCCATCCATGCACTAACCAGGCCTAACCCTGCTTAGCTTATGAGATCTGGTACATCCAGGGTGGTATAGCTATAGATAGCACTCTCACCCTGAGAAAGAAGCTCTAAAAAAAATTGAAAATAACCCTTTTAAATATTTTTTTCTTTATCTTTCCTGTTTTTTTAAAAATTAAGTTTATTGGTGCATTTTAGGTATGCTTCATAATCACATTGATCTTAGGGCATTTATACCTAGGGAAGATACCAAGAAAGGGACTAGCAATATTAATAATTCTTAAACAATTCAAAGTTGGATTGTGCAAAATATCACCTGTCTTTGATTTAGGATATCCTTCCTTAGCAGTAAATTGTCAGATAAGAAGATGTATTAGATAGATAGGGATCCTGAATTTATTTTAAAAGCTATGACCTGGTTTAGACGAACATAGATATTAGACCCAAAGGACCCTTTCCTGTTACGTCAGTCATTGCTTAGCACCTCTGGTTTCAAGTGCACTTTCCTTCAAAGGAATGATTATTTTGCTTTTTATTAAATACAAGGGCCAGAAAAAGCAAGGAAAGAGGGAGACAATTAGTACATTTTTGAGGTTTCTTTCCTCATTTACGAATACACATGTTCTTCCTGAATTCGAAGAGCAGAGAGGTCCTTGGGGCTCGTGCATAATGTCTTGGCCACATACATTTCACGGGACTTTTATGGCCATCTTTGAGCAATGGAGACCTAAATCAAGCTTGCTATTTCTAAAGAACAGGAGCATTTGATTTTCTTTGGACAGCAACCCGTTTTATCATCTCTAAACTGAAAGAGTCATATTTGGTGATCTCTTTTCCTTTCACCTCTCCCAGTCTCTGAATTTCTATAACTTATGAAAATAAACATTGGCCCGTCTACCTTAGAACAAACCTGAATCAACATAGAAGTCAGAGAGTGGGCCCAATGAGAAACTCAATATTTTCTGTCTCTCTGTGGTGGTTTGGTTATGTGGAGTCATGCCTAAGAGGACCATGGAAGGGTTTTGGCTTCTGGTCCACTTCTAGAGTCACTGGGATCTCCACTGCTTCTCCTACTTCAGGACTGAAGGTAGTTTCTTCCAAGGAGACAGCAGAAGGCCGACCAATAGTTAGTATTCATATCTCTCTGCTGGTGGCTGATTTCCTGACGGTTGATGATATCCGAAAACAAAGACAAGTGATATTTTTCAAGATTAAATGTGATTTGGAATTATCTGTAAACTGGACCAAAGGCGTGAGTTGGTTACTTTTAAAGACAAAGCCCAGGGGTGCACCCAGAGTACACGCATTTGGGGTTTTCCTGTTGGTTCCTGTAGGTTCCCTCTTCTGTTTGCTTCGTGTCCTGTGTGCCTGTCATCTTAACTGACTGGCCCTTTCCCATTTCTATGCTGCAGCCAGTTCTTTTTAATGACTGGAATTTGGTAAAATTCTTGCATTTTCTTTTCCAGTTGGATGGATGGAACCAAAGTGGATTATGTGTCTTGGGCCCCAGGTGAACCCAATTTTGCAAATGATGATGAAAACTGTGTAACCTTATACACAGATTCAGGTAGACAACACATAAATTCTTGAATGTGCTTTGTGATGTGATGTGTCATTTCCTACAGTCTTAGGCTAAGAGCAAAAAATTGTACATTTCTGTCACAAAGAGAGAATTCTGATTTCAGCAGCTTAACTGTTCAATTTTAAGGATGCTTACCATTAACTTAATAAAAGACATAGCATTCTCAATTCTTCCCAAATCCTGTAACATTTTTTTTCAAGTTCTTGAGGAAAATATTTAGAATACTTTTATCATCACTTTGATCTTTCTCTCCAATTTCTTGTTAATCTATAAAATTGGAATAATGATATAGCTGATCTGTTGAGAAGATTAAATGAGATAATGCATCTAAAACTGACGAGACGCTTAGGTATTATTATATTATTCTTACCAGTGATTACTAACTAGAAATATTTCTGCAGCAGAAAGTATATGCTTGGTTCATAGAAATCTCTTTGTAGAGTTAAACAGTTATCAGCTCTAAAGAAATAGCATGGATTTTTCTAGTCACTGGTACAAAAAGTAAAGTTTGATTGCATTCTAAACTATGTTTGAGAATCCTTACACAATCAAAATACATAGCTTCAAGGTTTTTTAAGGATAGGCATGTAAGTGAAATTTAACTCTTTTGCTCTTTGCCAGGCTTGTGGAATGACATTAACTGTGGTTATCCAAATACCTTCATATGTGAGAGACACAACAGCAGCATTAACACCACCCAAGAAGGACCCACCACACCCCCAACCCCAGGTGGCTGTAAGGATGGTTGGAACTTTTATAACAACAAGGTACTATACCGGGAGAAGTAGTCACAGTCTTGGCATTGATCAGTGTGGAGTGCGACAGAGAAAATCTTTCAGCTTAACTTTTGCTCAACGTTTTGGGGAATTTGGGGCAAGAGTAAGTGGAGATTCCAATGATAAATGTTCACTGGAAATTGAAAGCGTATTTGAGATATTATCCAAATAGTTGTAATCTTTATCTCGAGGGAGACTAAAATTTAGCAAAGAAAGTCTGTGAGTCATAAAGCTAACTTCATTGTTAAAGTTGCTATTTGGTCGTGCGAAAATTTATATTTACCTATACTTGTCTTGAATAATTTAATTTCCTTAGAGTCAACTTTTCCGTTTTAGTTAACCCTTGCTTTTTTAATTCCATCTCAGTGTTACAAAATCTTTGGATTTGTTGAAGAAGAGAGAAAAAATTGGCAGGAGGCACGAAAAGCTTGCATAGGATTGAAAGGGAATCTGGTTTCCATACTCAATGAGAGGGAGCAAGGTATGTGGGCCGTCCTCCAAGCACTGATGAACTGCAATGTGTGTGTTTGCCCTTAACATGGTAAGACATTGCTGACTACAACTGCTTGTTTAGTGTAAGCAAAAAAAATCACTTATGAGAAATGATTTTGTTCAATTTTAGACACAATTTGCTGGGCTCTGTCTGTAGAATTCTTTCCCATGTTCATTGCAACGCTACAAAGCAGGAATTGTTCCCTGATTTCCTGAGAGAGGGAACAGTGTTTGGAGAGACTTGAGTCAGGCAACTTACCCCCTAAGAAGTGGGTTTGGGGATTAAACCTAAGTCTGGCCAGCTTGCATTCGCCTCTTTCCACTAAATCTTCATTTCCCAGAGTCAAAGAAGAGTAGAGGTAGGAACACAACGAAAAATGGCTGACTTCACATTTATTCTTTTTATAGTCAGCTGACCATATAATTTATGATACAGTCAAACTGATAAATATTCAAATTCGGAAGAGCATTTTTTATAAAACCGCAAGATAAGCGAGACCTATGAAGAGCACTGATGAGAAATCTTGCCCTGTCCCTACAGCAGATTGTAAAAGTGCGATGTATTTATTGTCAGAAGGGCACTTACCACTTTTGCATAGTGTCTTGGGGCCACCTTTGGGGCAGTAGCTATTTAGTTAAATTTGTGATTTGAATTTGTGGCCAACTACAGGTGATTCAGACTAAACTGAGGAAGGCTTAGGAAACAACTGCAAGCAAATTATAGGTCAAAGACCCACTGCTTGGGGCTGGGGATTTAGCTCAGCGGCAAAGCACCTGCCTGGCAAGAGCAAGGCTGTGAGTTCGATTCCTGGTACCAGAAGAAAAACAAAAAACAAAAAAACAAAGATCCTCTGCTTAAACAGTTTGGCACGCACAGGAAGTAGACTTTGAAATGATCTTCAGGTGTGATCCCAGAAGGAAGCCTATTGAGGGGCAGTTACAGAGAAATACTAGATTTAGGCTCAATATGAGAGGTCATTCTAATAGCTAGATGAGCTGCATGGTGAGGGAGGTAAGGAAGGAACTGTGCAGATACTTGAACAGGAGGTGCTCAAAGGGATACTGTAGAGCCACGGGTGGCTGGAGCACGGTGTAGAAAAGGTGTTCAGTAGATGTTTATCGTGGGTATAAATTCATGAGGATGTTGTAGAAGAAATATAAACTGCAAATTCTCTTTTGTTCTAAGGTTCTTTGACCTGCAAAATCCTGTACTACCCAAAATGGTATATCCCAAAAAGTATAAGAAAGAGACTAGAAATTTTCATAGTGCTCTCCCCAGTGTTCATAAATACTGTCACGTTTAGAACACTTTGTGCGATAAACTAACGAAGTTTTCACTAAGAACCTTTGACAAGTTCAACAACATGCCGCACACTGAAAGAACAGAGTCAAACCATAGCGCACAAGGCAGGAATAGAATGTTCCTATTTCTCTGATTGGCCTGCCACAGTTTTGGGGCTTAGCTACCCAGCAGAGAAACACAGTCGTTGATTTCCTCTCTTAACCACAAAGCGCTGATTCCTGGCATAACAAAATTAGAACCTGGGTAGTATAGAGGTGCAGAAGGAAACAATTTTCAGATAAAATAACATTATTCCTGGCAACACACACACATGTTGCAGAGCTCTTATTGTGGTTGTTGGCAGTAAAAAAAAAAAAAGTCAGTGCTGACTATTGGCAGGTAGAGCTTTTCCACATTTTATTTCCAGTCAGGGAAAAGGCATAAGTTACCATTTTATTTAAGGAACAAAGTAAAACCAAAATAAATATCCACCCCTGCTCTTATTTCTCTGAAAAATGTTGGAGAAAAAGTCTTCTTGTTGTTGTTTTGTTTCTTACGTTTAGTTGAAAAAAAAAAGGTGAATCTCTCAGTGAGGTGTTTGCTACTTCTACGGTTCTGCAGAAAGAATAAATATGAGCCATGATTGCTCTGTGGAGTTGCTTATGAAAAAAACAGATGGTTTTATCTAATTTGCATCTCCTTTGGTAACCCCAAGTACAAGGTCATTCCTTCCTGTTTACAATCAGTGGACACCTGTAAGCATACTGATTTGCAAACTGCTGTTCCACTGAGCAGGTGCTTATGCACCTTGGAGTTCATGGCTTGGGCACAGTGGCTGGAAGCTGAACCCTGGAGGCGCCGCAGGGATGAGCTAAAAAAAGGAGTGGGTGCGTGTACAGTTAAACCTTTTACAGCCTCCAAATATTGCCATCACCCTCTGCTACAGAATAGTTTAAAAAAAGAGAGAGAGAAAAAAGCAAAAGGATATATTGTCCTACGTGCTCTGAATTTCTCTAGATGCCTTCACCCAGTGAAGAGGTCACCTTAGCATCAGGATGGCCCCTAGGTCCAGGCACATTCACAGATGGTCACTGACCCCTAGGAGTTGCCAGCTCAGGAGGAATCCCAGTTGGGTAGCTCTTTTGGATTGGCAATCTGAGATATTAATCATTTGAGAGCCTGGGGCCTCTTGTTTTGATTTTCAGAACTTTTCTGTGTGAAGAGGCCTCTCTTCCCTAATTATTATAATCAGATTATTTGATTTACAGAATTAGGACAGCTTCTAACTCATAGGGTGAGCTTTTATGAATTAGGAAAATGTGCTTCTTTCTGCAGGCTGGTAGGCAGGCACAGCCAGATTGGGGTGCATATCACAGACAGGGGCACCAGATGGACTTTGACTTCCTTTGCTCCCTTTGCCCTGGTGCCCCTTGAGCAGGGCGCAGCTTGATCCCCGTCTGCAGCGTTCTAGATAAAACCTAGACTTCCACTGTAGGACGCTTCTCAATGTCCAAAGCTCAGTAGCTATCCTGATGTTAAGGTTAGAATGTTTTCATGGTAAGGTCCTTTAAATAATGATAAAAACCTACATCCCGCACTCAGTATTTTCAAGTTAACGTGTTTCGAAATATTTTCTCTATGTTGAATATGAACCCCCAAATGTAAAACCATCTTGTGAAACTTTTTTTTTAGCATTTCTTAACTCCCGTATGAAGGATTCCACTTCTCACGCCTGGATTGGGCTGAACGATGTCAATTCAGAGCACAAGTTCCTCTGGACGGACGGACGAGGAGTTCAGTATACGAACTGGGGGAATGGCTTCCCTGGTGGAAGAAGAAGCAGCCTTTCTTATGAAGATGTAAATATCGCTTTCAGATCGCCTCTCTACATACTATTAGCTTGCATGGGGTCATCTTATTTTTGACTAATCTCGTATGACTAATCTATCAGTGTATTCTTCAATGTGACACTTTTTTGCAGATGTGAACTGTTTCAGATGGAGCCAACTTTGTGAGAAGGGCTGTATATTTTGCTAATGATTTGTTTAGGGGGTTGGGGGTAGTGAGTAGGAGGGAGAACCAGCTCCATACTAAGCCTAGTTAGTAATCAAGAAAAACACATGAACCCAAGGTTATCAACTTTCTTTGAATCAGCTGCCCCTTAATCCCTTGTAGCTGTTGCAGGATTGCAGGTCAGGAGGCTACTACTGCACAGTACCACTACTTGTAAGGGTATCATCCACATCATCATTAGCATTAGTAAGATCATATTTATATTCATAGAGTGTTTGGTATGTGCCACCGACTGTGCTAGTTGTTTTGAATATTAACCTAAGGGATCGTCTTTATTTTACTACTTTTGTTGTGAAGTAATTGAACAGTCAACCCGCAGTGTCCAACATCGTACTGAGGATTGTGAAAATCATGAAAAAATGTAAGATTTTGTTTTCTCCTTTAAAAAGCTTACACGTAAGCCAGAATGTAAGTCTCTTTTTATTCTAAGGGGAAATAATAAAGCAATATTTTATAACAAAATAATAGAAGGAGGACAATAGTGAATACATTGCACATTGTTATCTTTAAAGTAGTTACTCAGAGTATAAAATACAGGCATAAAATATTCTCCTTCTGTAAGGAAGGAGACAGTAAAGAAACAAAAGTGTATAAAAATGGGATCAACTAGGGAGTACTGTATTACAGAGGAAAGTCACTGTGCAGTCATGTAATCAGCTGACATCATCTAGGGGGCTTTGTGTACGCTGCCATCAGTGTACGACATGAGAGACAGGGTATGGGAAAAAGAATCAACTACAAATACTATCCTCGAGAAACTTCACACATCATCATCAGAGGAAATAGGCAGGAGGATGAGAAAGGTGAACCACTGAGCAAAGTCTTCAAGAAGAGAGTCTGAGGTATGTTTGGGTAGAAGTGAGAGGATTTGAATATGACAAGGGCAGGGGTTTTTTTTGTATAAACGAAGTACATATAAGCTTTGAAAGTAGATTTTATTTTTATGTATTTATTTTGGTTTTTCTCCGGTACCGGGAACCGAACTCACAACCTTGTGCTTGCCAGGCAGGTGCTTTGCCACTGAGCTAAATCCCCAGCCCTTGAAAGTAGATTTTACAGAGATATAGGTGCTCTTTGAGAGTATTTGCACTTGCAGTACACAGAAAAAAATAGGATTAAATACAAAAATGATCTATTCAGAATTGATTTTTATGACCTTGGTACCTATACGCAGGGTGGATACATCTTGATGATGGGTATGTGTTTTTCCATGGAAAAATTCTTTGATCCTCTTTGCATAAATTAGGGCTAAAAATTTATTGAATTTAAGTGAAGTAACTTAGGGTTTGCCAAAAAAGAAATGGGTAAGCAACAAATTTAATATAAATCAAAATCACCAGTGCACACTTTTGTTATTTCAAATATGTAAAAAATGTAGAAACAAAAAAATCAAACCAACCAACGAAAGAGTCTGTGATCTTACCATGCAGAAAGGAAAACACTTGATTTTCTGTTGAGTTTACTCTTGGAATTTTTCAGAATGTGTATAAATATCTAAAGTTTACATTTCATAAAAATGGTATCAAAATGTACATAATGTTTTGTTACAATTTTAAGACTTGAAAAATGGAAAGAATTAAACACAATTTAAGTCTATGCAGAATTCTTTACATATATATATTAAATTGGAATCTATGTCCACCTTACCATGGGATTTAGTCATTTTCACTTTTAATGAACTACAATCACTGTTTTTAAGAATTCTATATGTACATCATTATTGGGATATTATTACTGACAACATTTCTAAACATTTTGGGGTTTTCTAGCTCTTATGGACTCCTACTTTACTGTTGTCGTAGAGTATAGTTTGCAAGATTACTGTTCTTGTAAGTTTGTTATTTTATGGACACAGAGAGAAACAGACTCAGAGAAGTTTGAAGGGAAGAGGAGACGGAAGGGAGGTAGGGTGAAACTTAAATGATCAGAAGCCAGCTTCCTGGAGAGTCAGGTCAGGTCCCGGAAGCTGCTAGCTCCTTCTCCCTATGGCTAATTGGCTGCAGTTCTGTGGAAAAGGGAAAGAATTAAACACAGTTTAAGTCTATGCAGAATTTAAGTCTATGGCCACAGTTTAAGTCTATGGCTCTCGGTTCTGTGGAAGGGAGAGCTTACATAAACTGATGAAGCCACAGCACAAGAAAAGCACAATTCAGCCAGTTTAAATGGCGAGGAATGTTTACTATCTCCATGACAGAGAGTCCAGCCTGAAAGGTCAATCACAATATTTCATCACACCTAAGATGCCACTGATGGACAAACTCATTATTTCTGCATGTGCCACTGAAAAGGAATCTACCAATTAAACTCTGTCATACTGTGACTGTGATATGCACCTCTTATTTTAGAAATGTCAAAATACGAAAAGTATATGTCATCTAACTTGTAGCCCATGATACATGGCTCCCCAACATCACCAGGGGTGGAGGTTCTTTCCTTCTTTCCTCTCTGCATTCTTGGCATGCTGGCCCCTCTCTCTCCATTATGACGGGCTAGGAAGGTGGTAGGCAGCACATTCATTCAAGATGATACTCATTTTCCCCTGGCTTTGTGGGCCTTTGTCAACTAGGACCCCTTTGCTGGGAGTCCTCCAGCCCCGCCAGGGCCCCTGGAAGTCCTCAGCGGGAGAAGTAATATAGTTAGGGCATCTGCACGTAGACTTGGAGACTGAGTGCCTTGGACTTGGATGCTGTTTTCACTGAACTACCAGGGTGACCTTGGAAGAGCATCCTCGTTTCCCTGTGCTTCATTTCCTTCATGTGAAAATGGCCACAGTCACTGTACCTATGTTATAGGATGGACGTGAACTTCAGTAAATTAATACATGGACTGCATTTAGATCCGTGGCAGACATTATGAGTGCAAGCTTTGATTATTACAACTGATAGGTTAGAAAAGCCCAACACATGCTATAATCACAATTTCTATCTCATCCTGGATGAAAACCCTGGTAGGTGTGGGTTTTATGTCACTCTTTTGGGTTCACTTTTGGCTGTTAAATTATCTTAACAGAAACATGGAAATACAAATATTCACAGTTAAATACAATACCGTATTTTCCCAGTCCTGGCATAGTCTCCTCCATAATAAGATATGAAACTTTTCAGCTGTAGTAACAATTAGCTCTGAAACTATAATAATTATTTTATAAATGAAGTTAGCAATTGAAATATGGATTGTGCTCATTTCCCTTATACAATAGGATACTAATCCTTGGGTTTGTAGAGTGAGGGTTGATATGGACAGCTGTTATGTTCGCCTAGTGTCTTTGCTTCCTAAGTTTTAATAGCAGTTAGCCACATTTCTGATGGCAGAGTTTCTCAAATTTATCCCAGTGTATTTGGTTTTCAATTTAGATAGCAAAAGTCAAGTGCAAGAGTTCTGCATGCGAAGTGGGTACCGGTGGGCAGGGAGCGACTGCGGACTGAACACACGTGAAGCAGGATGATCATAAAGTTTGAAAGCTAGGAACATTGAGGACTTTTGCTTTTTAATCAGTTAATATTAATAATTGTGAATTCATGTTTGTCTTTCTTTATCCACAAATATACAGGCCGACTGTGTCGTTATTATGGGAGGGAAATCAATGGACGCAGGGAAATGGATGGACGACATCTGTGACAGCCAGAAAGGCTACATATGCCAGACTCGGCCGGGTGAGTCCTGCTACACCAGGTCTGCCTGGATGAGGTGGATTTTCAAGTGTGTCTTTAAATGAGGGCCGTTTCCTTGATTCTCACTTTAATTCAGGTGAGCCTGTGGCTGCCGGAAGTGGTGATATTTCCTAGACTGTGTTAACGAGTCTGCTTCCTTAGCACTGCAGAAAATTGTGAATTTGGGGTAGACTAAACTTGAAATTAAAACATTTCCTTAATTTCGTTAGAATTTGAGCCATTTGCCTACTTGCACCTTGTTTTAAGTGTCAGCATAGGAAATTCAGCTCAGCTCAAATCATGAGAACCGTTGGCTATGCCTCGTCATTTGTCCTATGTTTTTTGGGAGGGGAGGGTGAGACAGGTTCACATTATGTGGTTCAGGCTGGCTTTGAACTCACAGTGTAGCCCAGGCTAGCCTCAGACTCATAGAGATTATCCTACCTCAGCCTCCCGAGTACTGGGATTTCAGGCATGTGCTACTTTGCTTGGCTCGTCCTATGTTCTGTGTCTTAAAGAGTGTAGGCATCTGTCTTGAGTTTCTCTTTACATCTTAGAAATCCTGAATATGGCTAAATAAAATAAAACAGAACATTTGGATATTTACTATGAATTAATGTTATAGATCTACAGTTAAAGTTTCTAGTGAAACTAGAACAGTGATGTCTAGCTGCACAAAAGAGTTGGAAATTTAAAAATGGATGAGAAGTGAGGGTCGAGAGTGGCTGAGGTGCACCATGAATGCCGTTCTCAGAGGATGGGTGGGTTGGAAGGTACTTGCTCTGTCTGATCTAGCGGATTTCTCAACATTTTCTGGAGAATCAGGTCCTTCATGTGAACCTATGACAGTAACTGGAAATTGCTGACGATCCTTTCAGGTGTTTGAAAGGCACTGCAGAAATTCTCACCTCCCTAACCCCAGATCCACTCCAGACCTTGTTGCTTTCTTTTTATACAGTCTGCTTTCTGTGTCCACTGGCTCTATATCCTTGAATTCACCCAGTTACAGATTGAAAATATTTATGCATCTGTATTTGTACTAAACATGTACAGACTATTTTTGTTACCATTCTCTAACCAATACAGTGTAATTCCTATGTATATATCATTTACATTTTGGTAGGCCCTACACGTACTCTAGAGATGATTTAAAGTATGCAGGAAGATGCATGCAGGTTATACACAAGAACTATCCCATGCTTACTCAATTTTAAATATTTACTAAGTTAACTTTTTAGCCGATACATAAACATATCAAAACTTGTACATGTTAATAGGGTACCATATGGCTTTGCGATAGATGTATCCATTGTATAGTATTTGGATTAGGTTCAATGCCATTTTATAGAAGAGACTTGAGCACTGGTGATTTTGGCATCTGAGCTCAGGGGAGGGCAGGGTAGTTCAGTGCACCTGAGTCTTAGACAGCCAGTAATACCATACTGCATGGGGTAGGGAGGGAGGAAGGGTCCAGGAATGAATGTGATCCACATGCTTGCTTAAAAAATTCTTTTCCGGGGCTGGGGATTTAGCTCAGCGGCAAAAGCGCCTGCCTGGCAAGCGCAAGGTCGTGAGTTCGGTTCCTGGTACCGGAGAAAAACCAAAAAAAATTCTTTTCCTTCTAAACATATGTGATAGAATCTTTTGTGATGCTTAATAATATTGGAAATATTTTAATGCTGTAAGGAAAGAGTCACATAGTTAAAGTGAAACCAGGCAGCATCTATAAAGGTGTAGAAACTATAAATTATCAAAACACACTATCAATTCCCCGTTAGTATACGTGCTACTGAAGGTAGCACAAAGTTACAAAATTCCCCTTCAAAAACCATGACAAAAATTCTAAGGAAGTACATCAAAGTAGGAATGTGTTCAAATAGTGCGGTGAAGGGTGACTTTAGTTCCTTCATTTTGGTTTTCTGCATTTTTCAAAAATATATATATAAAATGTTAAACATGTATATACTATTATGTATAATAAAGAAATTTATTTTGTGGTTCTGGTCCTGCTTCAATCCAGGGCCTCTGGGCTGAACTAAATCCCCAGCCCTTTTTAAAATTTTTTAAAATTTTGAGTCAGGTTCTTGCTAAGTCACTAGGTTGCCTAGATTGGACTCAGATTTGCAGTCCTCCTGCCTCAGCCTTCCAGAGTGCTGGGACTCTAGGCGTGCACCACCACACCCATCAGGAAACAGTATTTTAAATAATACATAGAATATCTTTTTTTTTTGCTGAAGAGCTGGACGATGTCATAAAATCAGAAAGAAAAGAAAAAAGTTTCCTATGATCTAACCACCTAGAAACAACCTCCCAACATTTCAAGTTTTTTTTCCTTCTACATATTTTCTATGAAGGATTTTATGAATAAGCAAATGGGGTAGAGCTATTTCCTAGTTGTATACAGCCTTGTATGAAACTGTTTTGCTGCTTTTTTCTTTTTTTTAAGCTTTATTTTAAAAAAAGAGCTGTGCTTCAAGCCTCATTTGCCACTTTTAATGGTTCCCAAATTTTCTGATGGCATTAAGTTAAGCCCAGACCTCCACAAGTGGGAAGTTGATGATGCAGTTCCTTATACACTGGCCTTTGAAGATCCTGTCTCAGCTTCTTGGTCTAATGACATCTTATCAACACAAGATGGCAGCAACAGCAGGAGAAAGAGGCTGAAATGAAGTTAATGCTTACCAAGCACAACCGAAAGGAAGCTTGTCTGTAGTATTAGAACAAGGGCGATGATGACTGGGTCAGTATAAAGTGGAACAAGACAGAAAATTGGCCAAGGTGAAAATTGTCAAGCAAAGACATCTAGAACTCTAGGCTAATGGTTACTTTTCTATAAAAGAACCATGTGGTAAATGTTTCAGGCTGTGTGGGCCACACAGCGTCTGTGGGTATAATCCCACACTGTCTGTCATAGACAGTCAGAGAATATGTAAACAGACGCATGTGGCTGTGTTCCAATAAAACTTTATTAATGAACACAAATTTGAATTTCATATAACTTTGACCGTGTCAAGAAATATTATTTTTGATACCCCCCCCAACCATTTAAAAGCCAATGGTAACTCATGGACTCCAAAAATCAGACAGTAGGCCAGATTTAATCCACTGGCTGGTCACTTATCTTTCCCCTAGGGCATCAGCTAAGGCAAACAGAAACAAACTCTGGTCTGGTGTCTTGACTACATGATGTAGAGGGAAGCAAGGACATAATGCAGTAATTAGAAATCCATGCTAGGATGCTCAGGAAGAAAGGTATAAAGCGGAAGTGGCTCTGACTTAGCAAGGTGCCAGCACCTGGACCAGTTTGGACCATTGATGGGAGACTTAGATGAACATAGGAAGCCATCTCGAAGATGGGCCTGAGGTCAAGGTTAAATGGACCAAGGACTTTGTGTGTGTGTGTGTGTGTGTGTGTGTGTGTGTGTGTTTGTGTGTGACTTCATTCCAACCTATACCAGAGTCTTGAAAGTGCATTATTGACAGGGAGAGTGAAATACATCCAAACAGGTACAGTTATGAATGAAATGAAACAAAAAGAGAGAAAAGTTGTTCACGACCCTGAAAGTTGGCAAAGATAGAAGAATAAAGCTTCACAACACAAGATAACAGTCTTTAATTTTTAGGATCAAACGGTGGCATTTCTTTTATCCAGTACTAGATAACAATTTGCAGCAATTATATATTAGTTTAGAATCTTCATCAAAGATCTACCTTACCCTAAATTCAGATTGGAAATTACTCAATCAGGCATGATGACTAAAACATAGTTTTTTTAAATATAAAATGGTTGGTGAAAATATTGTTAACCCTTGATAGTTTGGAGTTATGCCATTCTGATTATTTTGTTGAAGAGTGAGAGATATTAGCTGTGTCCTCATGACTCAGTTGATTCTTATTGGCAATACTAATGGAAATAATCTACCCTTTCCAGATCGTTACTTGATTACTCCTCCCACAACAGCTCCAGCAAATGGCTTTAGTAAATATGGTGAAAGCAGCTATTCACTCATGAAATATAAGTTATCATGGTATGAAGCAGAGAAATATTGCAAGGAGTACACTTCCCTGATGGCGAGCATTCTGGATCCCTATACTGATGCATTTTTGTGGTTAAAAATGCAGCCATTTAATGTACCTGTGTGGATCGGCCTGAACAGTAACTTGGTAAGGTGGTGGAAAAACACACAACTTGACATGCATAAGTCATGGTTGAGTATGATTTTCCTGTTCATTCTGCTGAACAGTTATGTGAAAGAAATCGCTGAGCAATGTGGATGTACTAACATGAATAACACCCCCTCTTTCAAGGATCCACCGAGTTCAAGGATCTAGCAAACTAGTGACATATGTCATAAATCAACCTAAGAGTTAAATTACAGCTCTTGGATATTAATTTTGTTTTTGTTTTTGTTTTTCTTCCGGTACCAAGAATCGAACTCATGACCTCATGCTTGCCAGGCAGGCGCTATGCCGCTGAGCTAAATCCCCAGCCCTGCTCTTGAATATTAAAATGTTATTCTGAACTTAAATAGCTGTACCGCTTTGCTTATTTCCTTCCAACGTTGTGATTATAGCTAGGGCCTGGGAATCAAGAAAGGAGGCTGTAGAAATAGTTACTGGGTGATGAGGATGCCTTTATTTTTTGTGACAAGCGTTTCTAGATTGACACAGGTCCTGAAGTTGTGGAACTTCCACCCACGCATGAGAAGTAGCTCACTGCACTGAATTCCCTGTGTTCCATAACAGAGAAAGGAAGGCTGGCAGAGCGTAGTGTGAAGTGAGGGAGGAGGCCCAGAACTATGTGGCGATAGAGTTGCCGAATCATTCCTAAAACCAGCCTTTTATGATGCCTTATACAGCATGTATCCTTCCTCTGGGCATTCGTCTTGCTTGGGAACTAGCAAACTTCCAAGTTGTAGAAATGGAGATTTCAGTAGGCAGCCAAGAGACAATACCAGAAGCTTTAAAGACAGATATATACAGAGTGTCATTGGAGGAGAGAAATGGGACTGCTGGGGTTGATGACAGGACCAGCAGGGCTTCTCTGAGAAAGTCAACCTTTTTAGATATACTTTAGTCTAGCATGGCACAACATAAGGAGAAAATACCAAGAGAGAAAAGTATCGAAGGCGGCAGGACTGGTAACTAGATTGCTGTCAGTTTTTATAGAGCTCCTAAGGCCCTGATGCAGAGATAGAGACTTACACGTTATACAGTAGTATTTCATAGGTGTGAAAGTGAATATTTAAAGGTAAGTAGTTCTGTGATGATTTCTGCAACTAAAATATAAGCAAGACATTTTTGTCTCTGCTGACTGTTTTTGATAACTGATTTATTGGATTATTCATTTTCTCAGGCATGGGTTCACAGTTCTATGAGGCTAGGATAGGCTTTTGCTTATTGTAAAAAAGACTATATAGTTTTCCATAATACCATAATGATAACTGAAACAGTACTATTATTGTCCTACGTCTGCATTTCATAATTATGCAGGAATTCTTTGATTAAACGTGGGAGAACACAAAAAGAATTTTAACTTAAACACATGCTTTTAATTTTAGTCATTGGCTATTCGATTATTCTCTTGGTAAATTAAATGATGCAGTTAAAAAGGTAAAAATATTTAAATTTTTAAAAAATTTAGTTATCTCTGGTTAATGTTATATGTACCACCTGTTCTTAGGCATAATCTGTAAAAATATATTTTAAATTGTTAAAAGGATACTTACTATATATTGGTAAATATTCATGTTATCAGTTTCTTTGTATGTGATCATACATTTGACTTAATTTAATAGAAAGTAAGTAAGCAAATGGAGTAAAACAACCAGTTTTTTTTTTAAATGGCACCATGCTTTATATAGTTGAAAGAATGTGGAACTAGAAAGCAAGGGACTGGGCTCCTATATTACGTACCTAGATAAATGATTTTACCTAAGTCATCTACCACGGTGCCATTTCTACAGCAGAAGAATGAGAATCCCAGTCTTTCTCTCAGGGATCCATGGGTCAGTGGAAATTACTTAATACTTATTATAATTTAAATAATATAAACATTTTACTTGCTATGAAATCAAACTTTCCCTTGGCCCTGAAAAACTTGAAAACAGAGTTTCATAGATGAAGACATAGATTTTTTAGTCTGTGTTTTTCAGAATTGCTCCCAAGGATGTATTCCTAGGGATCTCCAAGAAATAACCATTTTTAAGAAAGGGTGATTTTTTTTTCCACTGAATTTGAGCTGCTACAAATGATTTGTAATGTTCTTTTGATTCACAGACTTTTAAGACACTGTGTCAAACCACAGTCTTAAATGTACTCTTTATTCTTTGCTTAGTCTTCTGGTACTCTCCAAATGAGGCGAAACCCTACGCTCATGGTTGTTTTTGTTCTTGCAGACCAACAATGACTACACTTGGGTCGATAAATGGAGGATGAGATACAATAACTGGGCAGCTAATGAGCCCAAGCTGAAGTCAGCATGTGTTTATAAGGATGTTGATGGCTTCTGGAAGACATCACATTGCAATGAAAGTTTTTATTTTTTCTGCAAGAGATCAGATGGTAATTAGATGCATGAAAATAATTGAGGGATTTGCAATTTTCTGAATAAGTTATTGCACACCACTGTCAATGTTATTAAATAATAATGGATCTTGGATGGCTAAGTAGAAAACAATGTTCCTTGTTTTAAAAACCCTCCAATGGGCTTTTAAAGGAAAAAAATATTCCTTTGACTCTCCTGGAGAGATAAAGAGATAATAGGTAGATAGATAGATAGATAGATAAACAGAGATAAGGATAGATAGATATATGATAGATAGACAGATAAACACATATAGATAAATAGATAAACAGAGATAGATATAGATAGATGATAGATAAACAGAGATAGATATAGATAGATGATAAATAGATAGATAGATAAACAGTGATATAGATAGATAGACAGATAAACAGTGATATAGATAGACAGATGAACAGGCACAGATAGATATAGATAGATAGATAGATAGATAGAGAGATAGATGGATAAATAGACAGACAGACAGAGATAGATAGACAAAGATAGAAGTAGATAGATGATAGATAAAGAGAGATACATGGATGTAGTTAGATAGATACATGTCAAAATAATGGAGAGAGTAAGTTTTTTTTATTTCTAGCATTTATTTTCTCTTTATAAATCTGTGCATGTTGGTCTTGAGGTTGTCCTCTGAATCTACAATGACAGATTACCCAAGAAATTCTATTCCCTTTTGATAGAAACAGCACATTTGTATTAATAGAATTCTATCAGAATGCATGTAGTTTCATCAGACTCATATATTATGAACACAGTCCTAGAATCCTAATTGTAATATTTAGTTTTATTATAAGTCCCATTATTAGTTAAAAAGAATTTATAGGGTTTGAGGTTCCAGAAAAGGAAAAGAATGGTTTGAAGGGAAACTCCTTTTTAAATTATTTTGGATGACTTTTAAAAACTTATAACATCATTACAGGTATTAAGAGATGTACACCTTTACATTTGACTGTGATTGATTATTGCTATGTTATTGTGTGTTCTATTGCAATACATTTAAAATGGTAAAGTAAATAAAAACTCTATAATAAAAGTAGTAATTTAAATGATAAACATTGGAGGGCTTTAAAAAACAATGATAGTTAATATAATTCTCTCTCTTTTCTCCCTGTGAAAAGACTATTCTACATCACATCAACCTTCCAATTTAGCTTTATTTTCAATATCTCTTTATTAACAGAGATTCCTGCCACTGAACCGCCACAACTGCCGGGCAGGTGTCCGGAGTCAGAGCTCAATGCGTGGATTCCTTTCCATGGTCACTGCTACTACATCGAATCTTCATTCACAAGGAACTGGGGCCAGGCTTCTCTGGAATGTCTTCGGATGAGTAAGTGCCACATTTCCTAAAAGAAATTCCCAAACTGTTTATTCCAGAGTCCCATGATGCTAATGAGTCCCATGAGTCATATAAAATATGAGGAAAGTGAAATACCTATTTATTTTGTAATGATTTTTTTGTAATAGACTATTCATTATTAAGCTCTTCAAATATACTTTCTAACTTTGTAACCTAAATTCATATAAAAAACAGTGATTTGCTCAATAAGTCTTTCTTTCTACCCTAATACTGTAACTTGTGATTCTCATCTGCAGTTATCTCAAATATATTTGCTTCTTATAACTGGTGACCTTGGGCTTAACAAGCACTCAAGAACCATTTTATTTTGCCAAGAATTAAAATGGATTTGCATCTAATTTTCTTTGTGAAGAAAAACAAAAACAAAACTCAAACGTGTGTGGTATAGATGAATGATTTCCCCTCTGAAATAACAAATGTCAAATAAAGATAATTTTTCAGGGAGCATTTTAAAACCACTTAGTGAAGTCTCACCAAATATTTTACTGAATTATTTTGAGTACATTTTATACACCCTAAGTCAGGATTCTTCATTGAATAGTGGCATGCAAGGGTTATATTCTCATTTCCTTTAGGCTCATTCAGAACTTAACTTTTAACTTTGTTCTCTGCTTTATTAATTTTTAGTTTGTGAATTTGGGGGCTTTGATGTCAGGTACATATAGGTCTATACCTACAAAATTTTGTTGCTTAATCAAAACTTTATTATAAACTGTCTTCATTGTTACTAGAAATAATTTTTGTCTAATATTAGCATAGCTGCTCCAGCTCTTTTAAAATTATTGTCTAGCAGCATAGCTTTATCCAGGCTTTTGGCTTCACATATTTGTGTCTTTGAATCTCAAGTGTGTCTTTTAGTTTTTAATAAAAATATAGTTGCAGACAACATAGTTAAATATTTCTCATTAATTAATTTGAGCATTCTCTGAATCTCCATTATTCAATGTTTAATCTATTTAAATTTAGTATAATGACTGATACAGTCAATATGTGTATGTCTTTTATTCTGCCATTTTCCCCTTACATGTCTTCTGTAGTTTGGTTTCGTTGTTCCTCCAGCTTTTTAAATATCTCATCTGATTTTTTCCTGAACTTCATGATTTCTGGTTAGAAATTAATGTTAAGTCTCTGTACATAATGAGTCATTTCATTGTTGCTGATTTTAAAACTCCTTACCTTTAAAAAATTTGATTATGATGTGTTTAGATGCAGCCTTCCTAGATGTATTAGACACAGATATTTTTATGTGTCTAGGGCTACTAAGTCTCCCTGATTTTGCTAAGGGCCTCTGTCAAAGATGAGCTTTTAATGCTCATCCAGGCCGTTGAAAACTCTATCTTAGCCTTCGTGTCCTGCTTTTGCAGAACCCCAAGGTCAGACAGAGGAGGGAGTTTAGGACCTTCTTAGGTCTTTCTCAGGCATGCGCACAGTTAGGGCAAGTATGCATCTTACTGCATATCTGTGACCTGCTAGCTCCCTACTAACACTCAGTGCTATTAAAAGTCCCTTATAGATATTTCATTCCCCAGATTTTGCATTTAAATTTTTGTTAGGTTGTTTTTTTCCCACCTCCAATCAATTTCTTAGGCAGTTGCCATGGGCAGTTTTTGACAAACACTCCCGAGAAAAAGTTTGTCTGCAGTAGGGTCTTCTGAATCAGGTCAATTAAAGACAAGTTTTGCAAGTAGCCTTTTCTACGATTTTATCAGGCAGCTTAAACAATGGAAATGCTTTAAAAATGGAGCTTGGAAAGAGTTCCAACCACATTCTCACCCCTCCAGTGGCATCCAGGCTGTTGGTTTTCACTCTGATTGTGGGAGTGATAGATTTAAGGATCCCACAGAGCTGGGAAGAAGACAGTGGGATTCAGACAAGTTAAAATAGCACAAAACTTACTGTCATTATCAAGATCCAGTCATTTTTCTTGCATAAATGCTTTTTGGATTCTAATAAACCTCTAGTTAATCTAATAAATAATGTATTTTCAGAAGTACCACTCTGTCATTTCTGATGATGTCATAAAATGTCTGTTTTTGAGTTAATTGAAAATGTCTCTTTCATATCACAAAGTGCATTTTAAAAATTTACAATGCACATGTAAAAAACTTGTTTTTAATTTTAGACAATGGTATTATCTGACAAATGATTCTCACTTTGTCAAAATATGTCATGAAATGGCTTATATCGATGAACTAGACATATAGTTACTTTTTTGTTGCTGAGACAAAATACCCAACACCTAGAGTTAAAGGAGTAAAGGTTTATTTTGTTCACAGTTTGTAGAGGTTTCAGTCCATAGGCGGCTGGCTCCAAGGCAGGGTGGCATGGCAGAGGGGCATCGCGGTGTGGGCCGGAAGCAGCAGAAGAGAAGCAACAGCAGCAAGTGATGGCAATGGCCGTCTTTCTGTCTGTTATATTCCATCCAGGCTACCCACCCTAAGGGGGGTAGCACTCACACCCAGTGTGGGACACCCTTCATCTCAGCATCACATCCTTAATCCTAGCATCATGCACCCTAGATCCACCCAGCTCAAAATGCCCCACCTATGACTGCCTGAAGCTTTGGGGGGACATCTAGACACAAGCCATAACAGACATGAATGGCCAATGTCTATGAAATACATTTAATATTGGATTATATAATCACACAGAGAAAACTATTAGCAAGGGAATAAGCCAGAACACAGTGATACGGGATGTAGGTATTTGATTAAGTATAGGCCCTCAAGATTCAGAATGTCTGGGTTATCACATGACTCTGCTGTGCTAATGCAAGGACATTAACAAATTCCTAGGCTTAGTCTGTGCTTTAGTTTCATTATCTATAAGATGACCTGACAATAGTACGTATTTAGTAGATCTGGCAAAAGTGTAATGGGGTCATGCTTGTGAAGACCAAAGCAAATGTAATGTCCGGCATGAAATGTTTAAAATATATTAGTTATTATTAGAAAGCCATTGAATTTTACTATAAAAATTTAATGCTGAGTATTTGTCAACTCCACAGTTGTCTGACTTGTGTTCCAGTTTTCTTTCTCTTTTAACTTTGAATGATTCTGCAGATGGAAGCTGGATTAATATTCCTATAGTATACTGTATTATTCTGCTGCCCCACAAAACAAAGTATCCTTTACCATCACATTGATCTAAATATCAGTCTTCTGTCAATAAACCTAACTCTTATCTCCTGCAGTGAGGCTGAACTTAATTTTTTTTGTTTGTTTTTGGTCCGTTGACCAGATTATGATGATAATCCAGCCAAATCAAACCATCCCTGTTCTAAAGAAGTTCTGAGCTTCCCTCTGTCTTTGTGTTTAATTACTGCTATCCTGAATCATTTTTTGTCCCTGCTACATAAAGCTCTATGCTCTTCTCTACTCAAATTCTCTTTTTGCCGTTCTTCCCATTAGTTGCTTCACCTAAATGAGCGTTTGACATGACCACAGCCTATTGCACCTATTTGTCCTTTCTATTTATTACTGGTGAATGAGCCACAATATCATTAAGTCTTATTATATCTCATTTATGCTTGCATATTTGCAGGAACTCATTGTCTGCTTGTATAAAAACGATGCTCAGAAAGCCCTGTTTTGAGAATGACTACTGATATTTTGAGAAGACAGACATCCACTTATTGAAATTACCCTTCCCCCTCTTTCTGCAACCTGGAGCCTGAACTCAAGGTGTTTGCTCTGAACTACATCCCCAATCCCTTTTAATTTTTCAGTTTTCAGGCAGAGTCTCGCAAAGATGCTAGGTTGCTCAGGCTGGGCTTGAAGTTGTAATCCTCCTGCTTTAGCTTTCTGGAATGTTGGGCTGACTTTTATTGCCTTTAATATCGATACTGTTTACAAAAATACTTGAGCTACCTTAATCTTTTCCTATCATATTTATCCTTTTATACTTTCCAGGTTCCACTCTGGTTTCCATTGAAAATGCTGCTGAATCCAGTTTTCTGTCGTATCGAGTTGAACCTCTTAGAAGTAAAACCAATTTTTGGATAGGATTGTTCAGAAATGTTGAAGGTAATATTGGAAGAACCACTTTTTAATTTCAAATGTTTCAAAATGCTGTGTATAAAATAAGGTTTCAGTTCCAGAAAGCCTGAAATAATGATTAATTTGTGATGAGTTTGAAAATTCAAACTCATTTTTATTTCAGTTAAAACTGAAAGTTTAAATGACTCACTTATTTTATTATTCTCAAACCTGCTAATAAAAATTTTCTTCTGTAGTTTAAAGACTATTTAAAGAACACTTTCCCTTTTTTGCCAGCATTAAAAAAAAAAACACTAGGGGAGGGTGAGTATAAATATTTATAAAATTAGAAATAAATTTTCAGCTAAAACTATATAATAAACATGTTCTTGCTGGTTTGCTTCCCAATAATAAGTCATTATAATTTTGCCTGTTAAAAGGCTACTTGTAAGCAATTCTTAATTGTAGTAAAAAATCATATGCTTCGAAATTTTGTGTCAATAAGCAGGACTTAAAATGAGTTATGTTTAACTTTTGTTTTGATCGGTTTTATTTAATGATCAGGAAAGTGGCTCTGGTTAAACAACAGCCCGCTGTCCTTCGTCAACTGGAACTCGGGAGATCCCTCTACCGAGAGGAATGATTGTGTAGTTATGGCTGCCTCTTCAGGAGCTTGGACTAATATCCACTGTTCTTCCTACAAAGGATTTATCTGTAAAAGACCAAAAAGTGAGTAGGAAGTTTGTTGTATGATATATATGTTCACAGGTCGCCGTTTCTTTCAAACAGTAAGAGGCCAGGTGTGGGATTACAAAGGCCATTGCAAGCTTTGTCAAGCTTTCCCTTTAGCAGAGAAAAATCCATTCCACCAAGTCTACTGCTGCCTACAGCTGAGTGAACGAGCAGCGTTCTCTGCCTGCCTAGCAATACTTTTATAACGGGATACTCTTTGTAGATTTGCTAAATTACAGGCAGTGGGAACAGCTCATCTACAAAGTCTTACTGTACTAGGGAGAAGCAGAGGAGGCCAGGGCTGGAGAGGCCTTAGGTTTGATTATGGAATAGGTCACATAACACCAACTGGGGCTCCATCTGAGATGGAGTGAAAGACCGTGACAGGAAGAAGGAGTGGGGAAATTAGTAATGTTAAATGCACATAATGCGCCACTGTCTGGACTTAAATAATATGTCAGTGTCATTTTACCTGTTATCCTTCCTAAGAGAGAAACTTATTAATGAGATAGAAACTTAATTATATGAATCATATGAGCAAGTTATGTTCCCTCAGTAGGCTTTATTAGATTTTTAGCCTTCTTTAACTCTGTTTTAACATTCTACACCCTCTGGTTCAATGTTGTGGTTTTATTTTACTTTTCACACAAATAGCTTCTAATACCCTAGGTTTCAATGGGCCAATTTCAAAATCCTCAGTGCAGAATAGTTCACTCATGGGTAGATTGAGTAGATTTTTTAAAAGTATCAGAGCTTAAATACAGCATGGAGGATTACATTTTCAGCTCTTTCAACATATTCAAACTCGCTGTGTAGTTGTAGGTTGCTGCTCTAGTATAGATAGCTAGATGGATGGAGGATGAACAGATCTTTTTTCTATCTATATCTTGAGCTCTGCCTATGTATGTATGTATGTATGTATGTATATATGTATGTATCTATCTACCTATCCATCTATCTCTCAATCCACCCATCTACCTGTTGATCCTCTCATTCATAATATTATGTCATCATAAGTCAAATATGGAGGATTCTTTATATCTCCGAGGTAATAAAATTTACTATTTACATCCAGTTATTATGGGTTTTTATAAATATTTGTGTTTTTTATTTACAGTTATTGATCCTCTACCGACTCAGACATCAAACACAACACAAGGTAAGACAATTATGAAATTTCAGGTTTTAAAAGCTATAACAATCCCTTCCTACTTGTCCTGAACCTTTGGTCAAATTGCTTGAGTTAAGTATCTTTCATTATTAATTGTATATCATTCCATGGTGAGGCAATAACCCAATAAAGAGCACAGCCAGCCTGAGTTTGGGAGTTCTGGGTGGGCTCTCTCAGAGTAACTCCAAAGGAGAACCCGAGTCCAATTGACTAAGCCAGGTCTTTTATGGATAGGGTAGGGGGGTTGGTGGGATGGGCTTAGGTGGGGTGACACAATGTTGTAGGGCATGAGATTGGGCAGCAATAGTGGCTGAGTGTGTGTCCGAAGCCGTGGATGCTGAGACCTCACAGACGGTCTGGTGTGTCAAGCTTCAGCAGGGTAAGCTTTGCTCCAGGCTCATCTGGGAGGCTGTAGGGTAGGAGCAGGCTGTGACTGGCTGGTGGACGGGGGCGGGGTGTTGCACATGGAGGTCAGACCTGTGATCCACCTGAAATAATATATTAGAAAACAGGTCTTGAAATGGGCTGGTGCTTTTGTTTTACAAAGTTTTTGAAGATATTACTTGCTGTTTTACAAAGCATTATTCTCGGGGAACCCCTGGAAGAAATTTCTGTTAGGAATCCTTATGAATATTTTCTACTTTTAGCAAAATTTTTTGTTTAAAGTTTTATAAATGATTTGAATTCGGGAACTAATTCTATTTTATTCATACTGTTGGCTGCTAAAAAAACACTCCGCTGAGATTTATCATTGCCTATAACCCTTTCATTACTCACATGCTGCAATTTGTTCACTAATTATATTCATCAGTTCAAACTTCTATTATTTTTATTTTATTTTCCCTTATTTTCATTTGCTTTTGTCATCATTATTATTATTGTTCTATTTATCTTATTACAATGCGTTTGTAAGCAGGTCAAATTATTTTGAAATAAAGTGTGTATATATATGAAATGTACATGTTCGTATAGAATATTGTTTATATTTTTTAAACATTATCTCTTTCCTTTTGTCTTTTTGAGATGGGGTCTCACTATGCAGTCCAAGCTGGCCTTGAGCTCACTTTGTAGCCCAAGCTGGTCTTGAATTTGCAATGATCCTCCTGCCTCAGCCTCCCTAGTGTTGGGATGACAAGCGTGCGCCACCATGCCCAGCTATTCCTTTTTCTGTTTTTTTTTTTAAACATTATCTCAATGCTCATAAACAGATAAAATATTCTTGCAACCAAATAATATTATCCTTTTAAATAACTGTGTGTCATGTTGGCCCTTATTTTCATGTCTTGCATTTCTATTTGTTATCACTTGAGAGAAAAGTCAGGCATTTTAGTTTTTCAGCAAGGCATTTGTATTGTTTTCCATCACATCCAACCCTCTTTCCCCCTCTGCTTGTTCTCTAATGCTTTTATTTATTTATAGCTGGCCCAGGAAAGATGGGACCTTCCAAAAAATCTTCCAGTTCAGCGGGAGTGGTGGTCGTCGTGGTCCTTCTGATCGTAACAGGTGCTGCCCTGGCTGCCTATTACTTTTATAAGAAGAGACGGGTGCACCTACCTCAGGAAACCACCTTTGAAAATACTCTCTATTTTAACAGTCATTCAAGTCCAGGCACTAGTGACACAAAAGATCTCATGGGAAATATTGAACAGAATGAACACGCAGTCATCTAGCATCGCAATGTCATGTTGTTTCGTTTGGATTTTATAAAATTGTAACTAAAGTTTTTAATTCAATGTGATTGTTTCTTTTACAAATTAGTACTGCATTGTATTGGTCTGTCCCTTTTCTTTGCCTAATTGAAGAAATAATTGCTTGTTTTCTAGCCTGGCAAGATATTTTCACAAAAAAGGGATAATAACGTTGAGGACTACTTTCAAAAATATCTTGGGTGAAAACACAGCACCACACTACCAATATTTCAGCATCATGCTGATCATAAGAGTCCCAGAAATGGGCTGAGGGTATAGCTTAGAGGGACAGTGCCTGCCTGGCAAGTGCAAGGTCCTGAGTTTGATTCCTGGTAGCACAAAACATAACAAAACAAACAGTTCCAAAAATAACTACCCAAACTCTTGAAATATTTTAAGGAGCTCTCAAAGATATGTCACTACTAAACTGTAATTCAACAATTAGAAGACCATTTTTAAAATAAGTACAGATAAGCAGAGACAGAATAAAAATTGAATCAGCTTTTTCCTTTACTGGTCTTGAAATCACTCCAGTTATTTAGGATTGTGTTGTATCCAAATGAAGAAGAATAAGGTGGCAGCGAATCTTGTTTTGCCCGGGCAAGATTTTAGGGGCTGAATATGACAAATGTGTTTTTTCTCCCTTATATGTATATCAGAAAGGCAAAGATGTGAAATAGAAATGTAAATTTGCATAACTGGATGTACTTAGATAATATGAAATGAACATTAAAGACAAGGTCTATTTTTAATAAATTTGTATTTTGGTGATATTATTAAGTGTCAATTTGCTTTAAATAATATTTACTTTACACTTTACTTTTAAACAGCATCATTAGAAGAATTCTTAAAATTGAACTCTTCATCTGTTTGGAAAAGGTATGTTACTAAAACACCATGCATCAAATGAAAATTTTTTTTTACCATCATAAACTATATGGTTTTCCTAGTTCTTCCCTTATAACATAAACTCAACTCAAAATTCAAAAGTTGAAAGCACTATTATGGGGAAGTAAAACATGTTACCTCCCTGCAGCAATTCCTTTTTGCTTAAGAATCTTGCATTAGATAAAGCTTTAGCTATAGTATGGAGTATCTTGTACGTTACACATTCCCACACTGGTACCATCCTGCTGGCCCATTCTTTTACTTCCTTCATGGGTAGCACACAGGCAGAAGGTCTTCATCCAGGATCACAGGAAAGGCTTTCTTAGATGGCATTACAAACACAAGGAGATGCACAAATGTGTTTATTTGCATGTGTGCTTTTTATTGGGGGTGGGGTGGATAGCTAAATTTTCAAGAGTGTACATAATTTAAAAAAAAAAAAAAGATTAAGAAGAAGCCAACTGAGTAGGTAGGATGATGGGCTTTCTAAGACCCAGACTTACATAGGTATCAGGGAGAAAGAAGCAAGAAATGAAAAGTGGACAATTTTGGAAAAGCTTGTTGGGTACAAACAACTCTCTTCTACACCTCAAATAAGAGAAAGCAAATTGCTCTTCATTTTCTTGGTACGAACAAGCCATGTTCCATTTGAAGAATTCCCAGCAGAAGCAATGGCTACGTTGTCAAAGCAGCGTGTAAGGAATTATACCACATGTGTATGTGTGTGTGTGTCAGGGTATGGGCTGTATGTGTGTGAGAGTCTGCCTTCAAGATACATGATGGAATAAGAAGAAATACATGAAAGGCATGGTTTACGAATTATTCATACAAGTTTTTTCATTGTTATTCAGGGCTGTATTTTCACAGAAAATATTTTGGACTCCAAAGAACACATACCTCAGACTTAAATATCTTATCATTTCAGGAAACAATGTGTGTTTGGCAAGGTTTCTGAGTATGACATTTCACACCCTTGGATTATCTGCTCAGACACATAATCAAATAGATAAATCATGTGTATCTACATACCTATCCAAACACAGCGCTAAAATATCAAATATATATTTTGGGATATGGTACTGGGTAGCGAAGAGTAATTTCTGTGTTTCTTTTTCATTTATTCTTATATTTGATTGGTGTAGTTTATTTGTTGTTTTTTCTTTTTAAGCAGAATGTTCTCTCTGGGGGTTAAATGTTTAAGTGCTGTTGCTTTCTTCACTGGCTTTGCGTTTGGTTTAGGTTTTCATCAGACTCTAGTAGCTAGAAGATAACAGAATGTCATTTTTCTCCAGTGGAGCTCAAATAATGTGAATCGTCTGTAACTTGAACTCAAAAATAAAGGTGATATGTAGAGAGACTGGAAGAGTCGACTCCTTTCTTTGTACGTATTTATTCACATATTTGTCTGCACATTGATCCATTCTTTCATTAAATAGTTCTATTTCTTGAGCATCTCATACATGTGCCAGCATTGGGCTAACTTCTGTAGATTCGCATACAGATAACAAGCATTAACTGTTCACAAGAAGGGCAGTGTGGTGTGAGGTGCCCTCAGAGCTGGGCCAGACACAAACAGAGAGTTTTACAAGAGTATGGAGGATACACTGGTAGACCGCATCAAAGGTCTTCATGGGGAAGCGAAAGATACAGATTCAATGTCAGCAGAAATAGGGGCCCCATTTTGTGTCCCCTGTAGATTATATTTGGGGGGCCCTCTTTGAGAAAAAGAATACCAAAATAGGTATAAAAGTGAACATTCATAGACGAGGAAAAGAATCTCAAGAAATTACAAATTCTTAAAAATTGGCAACGACAACAAACACTACAAATTGAGGGAAACGGCACATTATTTATTTTTGGTAACTAACTTCCCGATAGACTTCTTATTTATTAGTTTGCTAGGCCTGCCAGAAGAAAATACTTACGATGGCAAATGCAATAGAAATAGTTCTGGAGGGTGAAGTCCACGGTGAAGGTGCTGGCAAAGTGGAATCCTTCGAAGCCTCTGATCTTGGCTTGCACACGGTGGTTCCCTCGCGGCCTCTTCTCATGGTTGTCCCTCTGTGAATGTGTCCCTACTGTCCTAATCTCTCTTCATAAGGACACCAGTCAGACTGGATTCGAGCTCCCCCTGACTACTTCATTTTAACTTAATCACCTCTTTAAAAGCCATATATTCATAATTCCCAATTAATGTGAATTAGAGCGTCAGCATACAAATTTTAAAGGCACAAAATTCAGTCCATAGTATTCTTCTATAATACTTCCTTTTGATTGTACTTTGTATTTATCAGGCTTATTTAGAGAAACAAATAGTAGATAAAGCTAGAAAGAGAGATTGAATGTGCTTGATCTATCTAAAGGAAGTTGTTTTAGGGAATTGGATCACATGACTTTGGAGGCTTAGAGATTTCAAAATCCTTAGGCAAGTCTGGCAAGATGGATACTGTGGAAGACTTGCAGGGCAGGTAGAATTTGGTGGTGCTATACCTCAGCTTGCAGAAGGAGGTCAGTCTTTGTTCTACTGAGGTCCTCAGTGGGTTGGATTAAGCCCACCTACATTGCAGAGAGTTATTATTCTATTTTACCTAAAATCCACCAATTAAAATATTAATCTTAACCAAAATTGCTTCACAGAAACATCAAGAATACTTGATCAAATACCTAGGTACTGTGGACCAACTAGGTTGATATATAAAATTAACCATCAAGCCCCTTTATAAGGCAATAGATTTTTGTTTGTTTGTTTTGTAGATGCAATAGAAAGATAATTCTGTCTTTGGCCCAGTTAGTCAGGAATTTTAAAAATACTTGATAGCATAGAAAAGTTTCTTTCAGCTACTACTTTTATTAATAATAATGCATAATATGTCAGGATTAGAGCCAAATATAGTTAAACTATCAAATTGTTTTCATTTACAAGCATGAATATCTCAGAGCACTGGTTTTGAGGGAATAAAATGTGTGTATAAAATGAATCTTAATTAGCTTTGGTTTTGATGATATTAATGTAGTTTTGATTCTTTTATAATAGTACATTTCTCAGGCTGTCCTCTTGCAGTAGCAAAATGCCTCAGTCTGTATAATTTATAAAGGAAAGAGTTTAATTTGGCTTAGAGTTCTAGAGGTGGGGACATTCAAATTGGGCACTGGCACCTGCTTGAAGTCTAGTGAGACCCTGATGGTAGTTCCACGCATGGTAGAGAAGCAGAAGGGGTGCAGGTGCATGCAGAGGAGGAGCGTGTGTTAGAGAGAGGTGAGGCTGACCCACTCTGTGGTGGCTGATCTAATCCTGAAGGATCTATTTTACTATAAAGAGATTTAGTAATCTCCAGGAACTAACCCATCTCTCCAGTGTGGAGGACCACTTAGGTGATTCTCCTTGAAGGAGGAGCAATTGTCTCCATTTTGGCTGAGCCTGACCCTATTTCCATGTGCTGATGTATATACAGAGCTGGCTAGGACTTTTCCTTATCCCTTCAGTTGGCTTTAAGCAGTGCATATCAGTCCAGTTGCAAGTGCTCCATGATGTTGCTGGGATTGAGCCTTGAGATAGATGCTATGACTTCCCAGGGCTTGAAAGATTACACATCAGAGCTGAAGCACTGACCCCAAGACATTAGATGCTGTCTCAACTGTTATGCAGATGACTCTTTCTGCATGTCCTTCTCTCTGCATATTGTAGAGGTAATTTCAGGCCTCCTACCTAGCCCAGATTATAGCACTCACCTATTTCCTGAGATTTTCACAGTCACTCATCTTCAAGGCACTCCCTTCTTCATGAATTAATAAAAAACTGGGTTTGGACCTGGGTCGAGGCCTTTGTTCCGGATGGCCATCATCATAGCTGGACTTAGGACCCCTTGAACTCCCCATAACTATAGACATGCCTTAGTGTCTTTGCTCTTGCCGTGGGTTGCACTGGAAGTGGTAGGCTGACATTAACTCACTAGAATTCCAATGACCTTTCCATGGGATTACAACTATAAACCTGGGCTGTGATGAGAATTGGGAAGGGCTCTTTATGCTCCGGGAAAACAGAACACATTGATGAGCACAGGGCCCTATGATCTAGCCACCTCCCACCCGGTCCCATGTTTCCAAGGCTCCCCCATTTCTCCATGCCATTACTTTGGGGAACAAAGTCCCACCACATGAACTGTCAAGGGACACACCCTATCCCAACCAGACAACGTGGCTTTTTTTGGTGAGGTTTGTATTTAAATCTTTTCCCAGCATGTTAACATGATTTACTTACCTTTATTAACTAAATTGCCATATAACCTGACATTTTTGTTAATAATTTATTTGCTATTTCTGTGTTTATAATCATAAATTACTATTTTTTGGATGGTCTGAAAATTCTCCTGTTACTATTTTCTTTCTGAACTCAGAATAATCTTTATTATTTTTATGGCTAATTTTTTGCTTTGTTTCATATTCACATTAACCTTATTGACGTTTTCTCCTCAATTTTTAAAACATTTAAAAATGGTAAAGCAAATGTACTTTCTTTATATCTAAAACTGCAGTCCTCCAATTGCTATAGAAGAATCTGATTTGTTTTAGTTGAAATGTTCCAAGAAGGCTTTTCCAAGTTACAATTTAAGTGGTGTATTTGATAAAGCTCTAACACTACATTTTCATTGGAGAAGAAGGAAAGAAAATCATGTAGTGTTTTTATAATTGTCTGTGCTATTCCTGACACTTTCCATTTTCACACTAGGCATTGATCATGACTGAAAACTTATTTTTTTTAAATTTTTACATTCTGGTGAGTTTCTCTAGAGTTGCTTTAGGGTTCACACCTTTCTAACTTTGTTTCTCCTCTAATTCCCACTTGCTTTGGTCCTGGGCACTGAAGGATAGATTAATACTGCTCTAGAAAACCTGGCCTTTGTATTAACTCTTTCAGGTTTTACACTAGTGAGACAATGCGGTGCTTGCACATACAGGTCTGACTTATTTCACTTATGAGTATGGTCTCTAGTTGTGACCATTTACCTATCAAAGCCTCGAGTTTATCTTTCTTTACAGCTGAGTAATAGTCCATTGTATAAAAGTACCACAATTTTCTTACTCAACCCTTGATGGATGGACTTTTGGCTTGCTTCCACAATTTAGCAATTACAAATTGTGCTGCTATGAACATAGGTGCACATATATAGCTGTGATATGATGTTTTTAGATCTTCTGGGAAAATACACAGAAGGGGAATAGCTGAGTTGAATGGGACCTCTAGTCCTAGTTTTCTGAGGAATCTCCAAACTCGGAGGTATGATAGACATTGTGAAATGATAGGAAAATGCTCAAGGTAAAGGGCAACTGGGATGTGGGAAAAGAGAAGGGAAAGAAGGAGAAATTTTGTATGTATGCATATACAGGATAGTTATAGTTGATCTGCTGTCTTCTACTTCTTTGCTGAAAGAAACTGTTAATGAGTCCTCAATTGATCAATATTGCATGTTTCTATTTTTTTCAAGAAAAACCACTTTGAAAATATCAATATGTAATACAACAGGCATTGTTAATGTCCTACCACTTTGTTTGTAACTCTGTATTGTCTGTACTGTTCTTTTGCTATTTTGCAAAAGGCTGTCTGTCTGTTAATGTTTTCCTCCTTTTATTTTTTTTAAAAAAACCAAAACCTGGCCTTTGACCTTCTAAAGCATGAGGGATGATTTTGCTCAGTGATAGCAGGTATATCTCTAGGAGCCTTGTGTAAGATGGCTTTTTTGATGTCTACTTCTGTAGGCCAATCTATGGTAGTTACTTGTCCAAAGATAAACCCAGGTGTGACAGAGGGATATCACAGAAGGAAAGCCCTGATTAGATGATTTCATGTTAGGGAAGTAATCTGGAATGGGCCTGACTTGATCAGTTAGAAGTTAACTCAATCAGTGGACTCAGTCAATTGATTAACTTTAAAATCGGGTTTAGACTTTTCCTGGGCAGGGGAAGGAAGGGAGAGAGCCCTGCCTCTGGAGCACAACTTCCACCTATAAAGCTCCAGTGAATCCCTAATCTTCCTTTTCTGATGGCCTATTTGTGAATTTCGTATTGACTAAGACAGTCTGACACAACTACACAAGGCAATTCCTTGTAATATGTCTATATGTGTATGTGTGTGTATGTATCCATGACCTTTAACCTATCCGTTTTGTATTTGTGGTTGAAACCTAGCTGATATGCCATTCTATATTGACAACCACACACATATATCATCCCATTAAAACCCAAAACAAATGTATTTCAAATTCAGCATGTATCTACTAACTTCCCCGAAATGCTCATGGTTATTCTAACACTACCAAACACAAAGAATTGTGATGGAGAATTAGTTAAGAGGAAAAGTTT